GATGTGATAAAAAATGACTATCAAAAATCAATAAACCAGTTTTTAAAAGTGTAAAAAAAAGTTAAGTTCTCGTAAACAATTCTTGATAGCTCTGGTACAAAGACTCAAAATTCCGATGGCCAACATGTTATCCCTGTCAATTCATAACAAAAGATATATCACGAACAAAATTAGCCCATCTTACAGCTTCCAAGAGCAACAAAAAAAGAATGGAAAAAGTTAATTAAAAAGAAATGGAAGAAGTTAAAAATATAGATATGCTGTAGTGCAAATGTTTGCAAAAAATGTTACCAAACTTTTTTCTGAACAAAATGTAAAGCAATACATTTAAAGAGTAAAATCTCAACATTTTTAAAGAAATTTTCATGACTGCATGAGTTAAATTATGAGTTTAAGCAGTGCCATTAATGTTAGTAGTGCTTTGAAATTTACCAAGCATGCAAAAAATCATTGTAAAATCTATTTAAAAAGAAATGTAGATCTATATGCAAAAAATAAATTGGCATCAGTTTTGTTAAAGAATGGGATTATTCTTTCTCGCATACTCTAAATCTATTACATAATATTATCAGCAGCTTTAGTGAAGTGTTTAGTTTTTTCAAAGACAACTGATTATAAGTAACTAAATGATCCAAATCACTAAATATTAAAATTTTAATCAAAGTGGGAAGGAAAGAAAATATCCGAAAAAGAATGTTCATCGAATACCCTTTTAAAAAGTAAGAACAAAAATAAACAGTGAATCTAATAATTATCCCTCTCCATTAAATATTTGAGTCATAATTTAGAAATTTACTTATTCGGCTTGAATAAGCGCTCCGCATTTCGAAATGTCAAAAGCGAGGAAAAGTAAGACGGGAGCGATTCGAAAGTGACTATTTTGCGCAAAACAAGAAATCAATATAAGTACTAACGAGTAGAACGAAATTATAGACTAAAGAGATCCTTTGTGCATTCAAAAAGGATGTGAAGCACTAACCTTCATATCCCTATAAACAATGCATTGTTCATGCAGATAACCAAGTGCAAGGATAATTTCAGCGCCGTAAAATTGTGTCCTTGTTTCGCTAAAGATACGATTCTGTTGCAAATGGAAGAATAATTCACCACCATTCGCAAATTCCATTACGAAACATAAATGAAAAGGCGTTTGAAAACTGTATTTCAGCTGCTAAAACAAATGACTACAACATACACAGCAAAGTATATATAACTTTTGCACAAACAAAGAGGATAACACTCTTATGATACTAAATAAAAATTTCTCCTGAAAATCATGAAAGAGAAAAAAAATCCACTTCTTTCAAACGAATATAGCATCGGATGAGTCTCTCCTCTTCTTCAGATTAATATGACAAAGAAATTATGAAATGACTTTGGAAGAATCCTAAATATCCCAGAGGAAATTAAATAATTAAAATGACACAATACAAAAGACATAAAGAAGAGAACAGCAGCACACTCCATTTATTTATTTTTATGGAAAAAATCGCATAATTCAGAAATAATTTTATGGAATGAGTTTACGAGCTGAAAAACAAGAATCATGAAAAGCAAGATGAAGAAAGCTTTAAACACTAACGAATTATGACTTTTATTCAACGGCGAGAAAAATGTAAGACTCAATACTGAAGGAAAAGAGAATTGCAATGAAGAGTAAAAGAAATCCTAATCGAAAATTAACTTCTATAAAACGATTAATCGCTTGTTCAGATCAATATCAGCTTGTAGTCAAATGATATTAATAGCCACTTCTCGATAACAAAAATATTTTTGAATCACTTTTCGATGGCAAAAAAATTTTTGAAAAAACTTGCTAAGCAACATCAAGAAAAAGCGGAACATCAAAACGTTCCAACAAATTAAAATCTGGAAGCAGCAAAACAGAATTATAAAAATTCAGAAACTTTCACTTTCGAAGCAATAAAAACATATATTATGTGGCCATTGAAACCTTTATGTAAAATTTTACTAATAAAATATTTTTGATATAATGTTAAAATATACTAACAGTTAAAAATGGATGCTTGCATCTCTGTAATACACGATTCTCTGTTAGGGTATGCGCCACTTCATCCTGAAAACAGTAGCTCTTCTACATTTACTTACGATTTTTGCAGTTATATTTTCTTTTCATAATCATCCAGCGTATTAATGTCTACATTCAGTTCACACAATGAGAGCAAAATTGCAAAACTATTATGATGACTCCGATACTAGCTAGATATAAATACAAATTGAGCACTACTTCACTCGATTTTGTAGTGCTTTGAATCTGCACAGAATGACAGACCTTTTGAATAATGACTTCTTTCTTCAGTATTTTGATTGCATAAAGTCTTCTTGTTCGCTGTTCTTTACATAAGATAACTTTACCAAAAGTACCTTTACCCAGCACTTTCAGAAATTCGAAATCTTCTAAGGACTGCAATACGAAATGGTTGAAATTTTAGTCCATCAATCTGAACAACCAGCAGATAGAGTTTCACGGAACGTCAGATATATTTCTATCAATAGTTGAACAGTATTGTAACAGAATATGGAACTGAGCTGACATCATAAATTCATTACTGGTGGTTTCTCTACGGACACACAAGAAAAAGATTACTGATATAGCGTGTATTACGATAAAATACTAAATAGTGCATCATATTTGATAGTACTGCTCTTTCTCTTAAGCACATAACATCACTGAGGACCTCTTTCGAATAAATTATGCAAAGTTAAAAAAAACTTACAATCTTATCTCTTCGCGCAGCTTCTGCAGCATCAGCCAAACTCATCATGTCTCGTCCTCCACAGTTAATCGACATTTTGAACTGTTCGTGCGTAGCTGTTATTTGACGATTTACTCCTGACAGAAAACTTGACTCCTCCATCATTTCTGTATCCATTTGAGATTCCGATTCCTTAAGCGAATCCGAAACAACCTAAATAACTGATACAAATTTATGTAAAAAGCAAACTAAAATGATAACTCTTTTGCACACAATACGATGATACGTAGAATGAAAAAAAGAAAAAAAACCTTTATTGCATTAATCCAGCCCTCGCGTATTTCAGTAGTCTCAGCGTTAAACATCCGTTCAATGACAGTTGTCCACTGAAGACCGCGAACTAGGAATGTGTTTGGTTTCGGCCTCTCTACTTTCATCAACTAAAATAAAAAGGTTCCAGAAGATTCTTATAACCATTTAACTGTATTCGAACCAATTCAACGATTAATTCAACAAGTTGGAAAACAAGCTTGTCAGTTGACAAAATGTGTGAGTAAATGGCATTTGATAATCTAATTAAAATGAGGATTAACTTCTATCATTAACTAATATTCTGTCCATAACCACTACAAAATCACCCTTAATAAGTCAATGAACATAATGAAAACTTTTTGTCAAAAAAGTACGAATCAAGATTCCGAAAAAGTTGAACACAGATACCTGAACATTTTTGACTGTAAAATCATTCAAAGGATCGGGAAGTGGCTGATCTGGATCAGGTTTTGCTCTGAATCCTAACAGCGCACCATCTTTGAAAAGAACGAAATATCTGCAAAGCAATACAAATCTTAATCCAAAACCGCAAGCTCACAGATCCCTTCATTCTTTATAATAACCAATACTACTCTTACCTTGGCCGCCAGTTCTTGATATGTTCGCCTCTCTTCATCAGCCATCCTTCATGTACTGCCTCATCAAGTTTCCGTGACTTAATATTTATGTTTCCGGTAGACATGCCACTTTTCCTTGATGATTATGTTCCTAAACACGCCTTTTCTTAAGCGTATAACATATGTGGAGTTGCCTGTGAAAAATTATAAAAAAAAATGTGAAAAAAATGAAAAGAATTCCACAGCATTGCACAGAGTAACTATATAAAAAACATTGTCGCATCATTACTTCAAACAATTTCACCATAAATGAATACAAATTTTAGTTGAAAGTTGTTTCTCTTCTCCCAATCATTCTCTTTATCCTAGTCATACAGTTGGATAAGGAGTGTGATTTAGAGAAGTGAAATGCTTCAGAGTAAAAAAAGGAAAAAAAGAGTTATGCAAGAGAACGAGAACTGAGAATTACACGAGTGTTCATATCGACTTGGTCGACCTCTCCCGGGAAGAATCATTAAGTATGACTAATTCCACGACTCCTTCCCCGTATCCGAAAGATAAACACATTCTCTCTCTACCCATGAAAATATATTCACCAGTCGCGGCTTCCCTATGGGACGGAATGCAACGTTATGATCCTATGAACGAATGCTCGAACACCTTCTTATTTACCCGTAATGAAGTAAGAAATTCATTTCAACCAACCATTTCACTCCATCTTATATATTTTTTCCCTTCGAATTCATCTCTATTTTTGCTTAAATTTGCTGATATCTAACCTTTTGTTTAATAAATTTTTAGTTTCAATGTTTTTTGCATTGCATATATATATTTATTTATATTTATATTTATAATTATATATTATCAACAACATGCCCATTCATAACTGCCTGTTTGTTGGTGGCGTATTAGTAATAGATGGATTGATTTTATCATAATTTGTTTGTTTTGAATTCATATTTGTTATTCAGATCGCTATCACACAAATTATTACAAAATCGCTATTACACTATCAAAAAGAAATTGTCTGGTCAAAATATTTAGGTATTGTGGAGAGACGAAATCTAAAACAAGTTATTTTCAACCTTTTTTTTCCGATTTGAAATCGTCACAGAATTTTAAATAAAAAACAATATTAAAAATATGTGATGTAAGTCGGAGTGCAAATTCAGATGCCAGCTGTCTTCTTTCGGATCTTCTCAAGCTGAAAAAAACATTATTCTCAATACGCTACTCGTTAAAATTAAAAAATAGAGGAAATTTTGAGAAAGTGTAAATATGTTTTGTAGTAAATGTGTATTAAATTAAAGTTGAAGTGAATATTAATAGTGGGGAAAGTTTTGTTTATCAAAAATTTGGTTATTGATTGGATCGTTTGATTAAAAAAGTTAAGTTATTTACCCTTTCTTTGAAAAACATTTGCATTTTTCATACCGAAAAGTGTTTGATAAGCCGGATCCGCGTGATCCGCCATACCTCCTACTGTCGGTGCTACAATTCGTAAGTTTCATATCAAATGCAAATTTGTTCTACTTCTTGGAAAGATTCTAGAGAATTAAATGCTTTTGTTTCTTCTATGGTTGTATAGGTAAAAAAGAGTTAGATTCTACCATATAATTGGAATGTAAGATATCTGATGGATGAAGTTGAACTTGAGCTGACGGATTTAAAGCCGAAAAAGGTGCAATCTTTGTTTCAATATACTCATCTCATTACACCATTCTATTCTACAGTTCCTAATGACAATTTTCGAAATAGTATATAAGATAAAATGTAAAAATTACGCTTAATTTCTTGTGTTCCCTCCAGCATAGTTTCTGAAAATAGCGATCAAATCAGATAAGAAATCACAAATTATCGGTGAAATTTCTGCGGTCATGATCACTATTTCAAATTAAATTGAACTCGTTCTAAGAAGCTGAGCTTATCATGTATTAAATAGAGCGATAGTATGGTATGATAAGCGTAATAAATATAATTACGAATTGCAAGTTGTAGTTGTAACAAGTGATCTGAATTCTGTTTGTAATGATGCTATGCATTGAAACTACGACAGTTTTGAATATATTTAGTCTCGATTAATTTGTACTTTAATTAAATTACCTTTTTTTTCAGCGAAAACTTTTTCATTATCCATTCCAACAAGTGTTTGATATTTTGGATCTGCATAATCTACCATACCACCAATTTTTGGTGCTGCAATTCCACCATTTCAAATAAAGCAAAAAATTAATTCATCATATCTCGTCCTCCAACCGACATTTTAAACTAAACCTTAATTTAGAGCTCTTCCTTCAATTATTTCAGTCAGATATTTCCATGTCATTTTTCCTCTGACTGATTCTAATGTTCCTGTGATAAAACTGCTAAAATATTTATTATAATGAATTTCATTCTCTAATATAAATAAAAATTAGCTATGGCTTTAATAATGAGCTAACCTTTAATCTTATCTTGTTGTGTTACTGCAATCGCTAATCCTGTAATTGCATTAACTTTTGATTATTTGGCGTAGCAATAAAATTCCATCAATCGTTTTCAAAAAAAGCTTCCTTTTTTTTCGCGATCTTTCTTCATTTAAAAACAAATTTGTATTTGAAGTATAAATTAGTAACTTGGCAGAAATAAAAGATCAACTCACTTTCTGAAGTTTTTGCTGGCACTTTTTTATTTACTGAAAAGTGATATGCTATTTAGGAATTTAAATTTATTTGTAAAATTCTTTTCAACTACTCATAAAAATTCGATTTTTTTGAATTCGTTTAAAAAAATTTTAGTCAGATTATTAGTATTCCTAATTTTATATGTCTAAAATGTCCAAAATTGGCAGTAAATTAGCAAAATAAAAAATAAGCTTGCTATCGAGCTAATCATAATCAAATGCTTTTTCTTGTTCTGATTTCAAATTACAGTTTATAAGCAGCTATTTGATTTTTTTGATTCGAATTTCTTGGTGCTTAGTATCGGCTAATTTTAATCAAAAATACTGAGCAATCAGGAAAAGTGAACAGAAAGACTTAATTTACTTTTGTTTTTAATTTTTATAAATTTGACCGAAACAGTTTTAACGACAATATATTGCAATAACTTGTCAATTACTAATTTATATCAAATAACCGATTAAAATGCGTTCTTTAGCATATTCATCTACTTATTTTAGGAAATAATTTATATAGGAAATAATAATGCAACATGGCAGATGAGAATTGTGGTGAAACAGAGAAAGGATAAGGCAATATTTTGATAATGTTTTGCATAAAAGTTAATTTATTGAATAGAATGTAAAAAGAAGCTTACGTTTTGGTATGTTCTCATAATGGTCATCTGCAAAATAATCATAATGGTCATCTTTTATAGAGTTTGGAAAATTGAGTTGAAAATTCGATTCAAACTCTAAATTTAGTTTAAAGGAGTTTGTTTTTCAAAAAATCAATTACCTTCGATTTGCTTTTTGGGAGGCAGACTTTGAGCTGGTGCAGCTTTAGGGACATTCTTTTCTGTAAAAGATATTATTACAGCATATGTCGATTGTTCTGTTGGTTTATAATTTGAGAAAAATTCAATATTCTAAATGAAGTATATACCGTCTTGTTTTTTGGTAGTGAATATTTCATCGCCTATTCCGCACATTGTTTCATATTGAGCTTCATTTTCTGTTTTCACCAGCTCTTCAATCATTTTTCTTTCTTCTGCCGAAATTTAAAAAGCTGAACTATTTCAAATACCAATCCTCACACCTCTCATTTATTTAAGAACTGGTATAATTATTATTATAATTTCTGACATTAATTTATTGCTGAAGTAATTACTGGCAAGCAGAAAGTTTTTTCAAACAAGATCGGCTATGATGTAAGCTGGAAAGGAATTTATTTATTCATAGATAAAAGAAGGATTTATGAAAAATAGTGACCGTATTTCGATACTAAAAATCATTGAAATTCGATGCTAAAAATTTTCGAAGCTTTTATTTTTCATAAATTTTTTATTGACTTGAAAATACCATTGGCAACTTCCTGAGCGAATTTTTGTCGTTCATTTTGGACAGTTTTAAATGTGATACCAATTTCTTCACATAATCTCCTTTGCAATTCTTCCGGCAGTTGACGTGTTCCAAGGCGTGACTCGAGCGCACATACCTTTAATATGCAAAAATATTTTTTAAAAACACAAATACCATTCTACATCACCATTATCATCCTTACCATCCTATTTTGAATTCTATCATCTGTCAGGATAAGCAGTTTCATGATAAAAAATTACACTTGAAAATATAGAAAGCAAAAATAAAACCTTAGCATTGAGAAGAATAAGTTGACGAGTGATACCCCATCTCATATAGATAAAGATATGTAACATAATAATCAGACAAATGAATGTTATCAATGCGACTATCACTGCTGATGTTAGCAAAATTGTAGCATATGATCTGAAGTAAGCAAACTGTATGTGTTCTTCATGGAAGACCTGATCTGTCAAAGTAAACTAATATTATGGCTTACTTCATTTCTTCTTCAACAAGTTGTCTCTTCAAATGTTTTACTGGTACTGGTAGCTCATAATCTGTGATAATTTCTGCTGCACCTACAAAATTATCGGTAAATATGGAAAGATGTTTTTTATCCATGCAACTTCCAACAAGTGATTTCGCATTTTTCCATAAGTTTTTCTGAAAGCTTTGAAGCCATTGTTAGATATTAATATTCAAGCATCAATAATTTTTTTATTAAAACTTAAAATAATTTAATGGCCGTAAAACATCGAACAGTAATGAAATTAAATTAATATACTCTCTATTCCGCAGATGATAGATGTTATCATGTAGAAGAAATTATGAAGATTAATCGATCATGTCAGAGCAAGTGATTTTCCAATCAAAATATTTGTATATTAAAGAATAATTCCATTAAAATACGGTACAAAATACCTCAGAGATGATTATTAGCATAAGCATCATCGTTTTAATGAAGTTTAAATACATCTGCAAATGACCCTCCACGTGCCGCACTAAAGTAATAAATGATATTAATGTCATTTCAACCGTATTTATAGTCCGATCCGGTAACTGGAGTACTGGCATCAAAAAATTTGCTTCCATGTAAATTTAGAGCGGCAGAGGTGTCAAACTATGTTGCCATATTAATTGCTTTCTTTTTCAAGTAACCAATAATTCGAAAGAATTATATAGTTGATATTAACTTATTACACGTACCGGATCCGTCGAAAATCTAGAAATTAATCGAAATTTGGTAGTACATAAGCTGACCATGTGGTTTCAAAGTCATTTTGTTTCAAATGCTAGGAATTGCAACCAAAATTGATAGCTACAAGGGAATTTTTTTGAGAAAACAACAATTGACACACTCTTTTATTTACTCTTCATTTATACACAGTAAATAGTCAACATTTTCCCATGGAAGTCGGTATAATCTTAATAGCAGCCCGGCCTACGGTTGGCCTTAAAATCTGGAATGAGCATAAAAGATTTTGATCCACAGACATTATTGCTGCAGCATTGTCAAATTGTCCACAATAATGAGGTGCGGAAAATATGGTGACACATTTGCGGGCTCCGAAAAATTCATATCCATCTTGTACCACTTGATGAGCACGAGCCACCTGCATAAAAAAAACACCATGGAATTATTTAAGGACGCGAAAGAACTAAATTACATTAAAGCACTGTTGTAAATCACAATTTTATTTGTTTTGCCATTTTTCACAGAATTTGCTAAAGAATAGTCAATTTCTTACCATATCAATATTCAGTTCTTTACATAATGTAGTTAAAATATCTGATCCAAATCCAAACGAAGCGCCTCGCATATTCATTTGAAATCCACTAATGCCTATTACCGGATCTGCCCACAATAAATCCATTTCCAACGACGGACTTGTGACATTGGTTGGTCGTTTAATTTCTCGCAGCTGTTGAAGACTTTTTAGTTGTGGTGATATACCACCGTGCATGCACAGTATACGCTCACCAACAAGTGCTGTTAATGGCATACACTGAAATGTGTCCTGCAAAACTAAGCTATTATAAAAATTAAATTATATAAATGTATCAAATCATCCAATAATTTCGACTTAAATAATATTCACGAGTTAACAGAGCTAACAAAGGAATGATTCGGTGTATCTTCCAATTTTTCTCACAGCATTTAAAATTAGTTACTGATTAATTTGCACAGTTTTCACACGACAATTATTCAAATTTTGAAAAATTTCTTTTCAATATAATCGAAAAATAATGTGGAAAGAGATCAAAAATTGAAATAAATTTTCCTAAACCTGAAATATTTGCCACAATTGAGCTGAATTGAAACGACGCATACATTCCTCATAAAAGCCATAAACCCGATTAACATTAGCGCATTCGTGGTTCCCGCGAAGTAAAAAGAAATTATTTGGAAACTTCACCTGTATTTTTTTTAAACTTTTAACATTATTGCAAAACACGGAATAATAGCTGAGTGTGTGATAAAAAGATTCAAATGCTAGAAATAAATTCGTTAAAAATTATTTAAGCACTACAACCTTACTCCGTGTACTCGTTTTGCTACTCTAACTAAATACCTTTATTTCATATGACTAGTAAATGATTTCATTGCATTCATGATCTTTACAAAATCGAAACATTTCTGATCATAAATAATAATATAGACCTTATAACAGAATACTAATATGATAGTTTCCAGATTTTGTTGTCCGCGATCTACGTAATCACCCAGGAATAAGTAATTGGCAAGGGGAGGGAAACCGCCACGACCAAAGATTCGTAATAGGTCGCCATACTGACCGTGCGTATCACCACAAATGCGAACAGGTGGATCGATTTCTATTAATGATGGTTGTACCATGAAAATTTCACGAGCTTTATCTAAATTTAGATACATTTTACGAAGTCCGTTGAATTGGAGAAAATCCTAATCTTGTGATTGGCATTGACAACGATAGCAACAAAGTCCAGAAATTGGTCTTTTCGCCAAGAAACAAAATTTTACGTATTTTACTCGAGTACGACAGTACTGACAACAAGCTATTTATTAAAACAATAAGACATCCTTCTTTTTTTCCGCCCCAAAATTTATGCGCAGAACAACTAGATTGATTTCTTTATCGGAATTTAAAGTTTTGCATCTCTTCGTCGACCTATATTGAAAGCGACTCTTCCTACATAGTTTGTCTTAATTTATCCATTAAATTTTCAATATTATTATCTGCTAAATTATACCATACTACCACACCAATCTATTACTATAAAAGAACTCACGGCAAAGTGATATGATTTCAGGCTCACGAACAGTTTTCGTAAGACCTTTATTCGGTTGTCCCACACTCAACAGTCGCAAGATCAAATCGTTAACATCGACTTCCGTCATTTCTTTAATTTTCGAACTGAAAATTTTGCCTCAGTTGTCAATTATCGCTTGAATTAGAAATATCCGCCAATCATCCTGCGCCATTATATCTTTCCCGTCTGCAGCATCCAAGTGCGGTGTAGTTAAACCATTAATTAACCTTTGCAAAATCTCTTATGGATACAGACTCTTACTACTGTACAGATCGTAAAGCTTACACACCTTGCTACGTTGTCCTGAAAATGCTAAGTTTGAATATGTTGAGTGCAGCCTATCCACGTTTCGCCAATGCTAACAATAATCATCTTATTTTCTACATTGAAATTTCTTGCATTCTTGGCAAGACAATTTGCATATTTTATCTTTTTTGTTTTTATTTTTTGCTTAGTATTGTGTCCAATTTTCATTGAAACGAGACCATCTACAAGCTGAGCCTATAGCAATGCTTCGAATAAAAGTCGATGTGGACTTCCAATCTACACTTCAAATGCTTTTGCAACAGTCGACAATTCTTAAATTCCTTCGCCCTAATTGTTCCATAACACAAAAATTTCATGTGAATTTTGCGATTATCCCACAGTCCTCATCACTTTCCACAACAGTATCAAATTAGTCTGCATATTTTTCTTGTGACCCAAATGCATTGTTGGCAAAAGAACTTAACTGACAAAAAAAAAGATATTAAAATTTATTATTCCTATTTCAAACGAGCAAATAAATAAAGAACCTGATAATTACCGCACTATGTTTCAATATCGCTCACTGCATAAGAGATAGACTATTGAAAAAGCAAAAACAAACGAAAAGCTGGATTTTTTTAGAAGCAATTTGGTGTTTTATATGTTCTTTTACATCTCAAAATCTAAATATTCAGAATCAATCAACATAAGTATCTCTTGTTTTTACTTTCCGAAGTTCCGATTGGAACCTGTTGTTTCATTTCATCGATTCGAAAATGCTCGCTGTTGTAATATTAATGGAAAGATCTTCATCACTTGCTTTCCTGAAAGACTGCCATATAATGCTGTCACAAAAGCTCATTTTCAAAGACATAGGTTCCTGGAATTTATATCCCAATAATAGTTAATAACTTGGAATTTCTATTCCAGGTTATTAACTGAACTATATTCTTCTATAGAGATAGAAAACTATATCTTTTTACAAGGATTAGAAAATATGAAACCACAACAAAACACATCGATGAACACTAAATTTAGATCGTTTTTAAAATTATTAAACAAAATAATGGTTCAAATTACTTTGCTATCAATGTTAAAAGAAGAGAATTTCTTTGTTAGCATGGTCGATTTTGTGAATGATCTAAATGATGAATTTGACGAATCCGAAGCGATGTCCTCTTCGGGACTTTCCACTGTGATAAAAACCTCGTTCTGAACTTTAACCTGTAAAAATTTGTAAAAGTTACATGACAACGTGGAAGCTTTTTAGAGACTCATCCATGTAATTTCATTAAAATTGGTAAAAAGTTCTAGAGCAAGAATTTCTCTCACATTCATCCATCCAATAAAAGAGCCGGCTGTCCAAATCCAAAAATAAGTTTAAAATTACTTTTAACATTTCCTGCCACTTCTAGTAAATTGCCAGGACCACTAAAGATGTCAAATTTTTAAAAAACTTGGATTTCGAAACTAAGTTAATTCTGTAACGTCAATTCAAAAAATTTTAAATTCACTAATGAGAAGAGCACACTCATGAATGAATAATAACTCTGGCACATTTACTCTCCTCCTCAAAAATTTTACGAATTCTACGAATTCTGCACATTCGCACGTAAAAATATATCTTAAAGTCCATAAAAATAGTCGAAGAAATACTATGGTTTAAAATAAGTCCATATTTTGTTATACCCAAGAAAAAGTTAATTCATTTCACTTCTCTTAAATCCATTAAAAAAGTTTTTGTGAAGAAGTTTCCAGTTTAAATTTGATACTAATCTAAATCTTCACTTACTAACAATAACTCACCTTTGTACGAGTAGGATCAGCGTAAGGACTCTGTACATTTGTTTGTGGAAGACGAGAACGAAATAGAAATGTTTTACGTTCGTTGTTTAGTGCCGTTGAAGAAGATAACATGCATAATTCTACGGAGGACAGAGTAAGAAACCTGGGTATCATCGTAACACAGGAGATAAAATAGGTGTGTAGTGAAGAATGTATTAATAAAATGGCTTGCCTCAATCGTCATATGTGACCATTGTGGTCTTACAAAGATAAGGAAGAAGTGGTCGTACGTAGTAACTCCTCAGTACCATTATCTATCAAATATTGCTAATCATTCTCATCCATGTTCATTTACAACAATATCTAACGGGTCAATGCTTGAATTGCGATAGGACAGCTCGTAGGCTAAGCAGTTGTAATAAAGTACATTTTGCAGTGATAGAATTGGTATTAATGGTTGTGTTCGATGACGAAATCAGCTAATTAATGTTTATCTCTCCAATTAGTATCATTCGTACGTCTCACAGATGTATAAGCAGAATAGCAAGTCATCAAACTTCTTGCGCTCTCTGCCGATTAATTTTTACTACAAAATCATCATCCAGAAATGCTCCCGGTATTTTGATGACGTGGTCATTTGGATATTCATCGGTTAGTTACTTTTCGGCTTCGTTTATGCATCGAGCTAAAAGTGTCTTCATTTCCATTTGCTTGAATTGCTTCAAATATTTTCAGGATAATAAAGGAAATCTTCGCATGTTGCACGATGTGAAAGGCATCGGTAGAGACAATAAAGAATTTGTTGAAAAAGGTGGCGAAAAGATAGCATGCAAGATAAACGAAGTAAATTATAGATAATTCGAATTGTAATACTCCATTTAGTGATATCATTTATGATGCTCTTGTTTTCCGCTTGAATAGAATGGATATTTTCCTACATTACAGGATGGTAATATTGGAGCTTCAGCTCTTCCTAAAATGAATGTGAAGCCGAGTATAATTGTTACTAAGTGGGAAACACTGATGAACAGATGTGGGTTGTCGGTAAATTTCATTTTCTCTTAATTTAGTCGTTTTTCTTGACTTCTCTGGTTAGCGCAGTAAGTCATAGATAATATATGTTGCTTTAGATCGACAGGACTGCTCCAAAGGAAGATCAGAATGCTCAGAAGAGGAAGAGGAGTACAGTACTTGCTATGTTTTTCGTCGCCGGCAGCACATTTTGTGGACTTTTATACTTTTGCTTATATTATGGTAATGATTGAAGTTTCGATAGTTATAGTAGCTTCTTGTGATGCCGGACAATTTTATCCAAAACATTTGTTATATATAAAATGTGAATAACAAATGTATTATTATTAAGTTAAATCAATTTCACAATATATTCATTTTACGAAAATAATACGAAAATACATTGTAATAAATTCAGAGCAGATACACAACTGAAAAGAAAGATTAAAATAGACCATTTGGTTCGTTAATTTATATGGATTTCTGAAAAGCTAATTGTAGGATGGATGAAAAGAGATGAAGACAGTGCACATACGGGTATATTAGCTCCCTATTATCGTATCAAAGAAGCATGTAGGTCATGGAGAAATGTAAGCCTTGCTTTTTGTTTCAGCTGTTTTAATTCTCAGTCTTAAATTAGCATATGTTTGTCTTTTGTGTATGTTGTAAATTAGCATATGTATATTGTTTACGCCATACTCTTCCTTTTTAATCAAATGAAAAATAGCTTGAACATATTACTGTATACAGCAGTAGACACTATTTCCTCTAATATAATTTGTTTGCAGTTTGTGGTAGAGCCATCCAGAGACAAACTTCTTCCGGATCCATTAAAACCACCATATTGGCAGCCCAAGTATACCGTCGTTATTGAACTAAAGAATGTTTTGGTGGCGCCAGAATGGAGTGTTAGCCTTTGAAATTAATTCATAAATGTGTTAACAAAAACTAGCATTTTAGTAGTAAAAAAATTGAAGCTGAGTAATAATATATTTGTATCATTAGAAATGAACCAGTTCTTCTCCTTTATATGTTTTTTTTCTATTTCTTTTAAAATATAGGAATTTCAGTATAAAATGGGAAACCGCGTCAAGAAGCGCCCCGCTGTAGATTATCTGTTGGACGTAATTGGATATCCTAATTTTGAAGTCGTGATTTATACATCAGAAACTGCATTGAATGCAAATCCAATAGTTGAAACTCTAGATAGCAAACAGAAAATCATGTATAAGCTGTATCGTGATTGCTGTAAGTACATGAACGGCGTTTACGTTAAGGTAAGTCCAGCCACACATTTACGTTCAGCTAACACTCTTCCTATTTTTTGTATTTTTCTGTTTTTGATTTTAACCTGGCATTTCGAAATTTTAGGATCTCTCTAAGCTGAATAGAGATCTGTCGAAAGTCATCTACATTGATTTTGATCCGGACTCATTTCGATTTAACCCGGAAAATGTGCTGCGGTTACCAAAATGGGACGGTGCACTCAATGACACTGCACTTGTTGATCTTGCTGAACTGCTCAAAAGTAATTAATTTCTTCGATTTCTCATTAGTTCTTGTTGCAAATGATACTTTTTCATGGATAGTTTCTTTTTTGAATTGAGTTTTTTTCAGCAATACATTTATCAGATGTTGACGATGTGAGACCCACGCTTCAATATTATAGTCAATTTGATGATCCACTCAAAGAATTCAGAGAAAGAGCAACGAGAGTTGCTAAACTGGTTATCATTTTTGAATGTGATGTCATTCATTATGTAGCAGTTGTTTAGCCATTTATTTTTAGTCTCAGAATCTCTTTTTTCTCAAAATTCAATTTAAAGTTCGATGTGGAAGGAGTTTTTACATTTCGACAGCATTAGAAATCTTTTCCAATATCAAGTTATATGCAAAATTGTTTTTGTTTTCCTATGGCAGAGAATTACAGGAAAAGAAGATGCATCAGATGGAATCCGAAAAGGAAGCATTTATTGCACCGGTAAAGAAATATCAAGGTCGATTGTTCGGTTTTCGTCGGCATGAGTGACTTATGTGTTTTCGTTGAAAATATTAGCACTGTTGTGAACTGATTTGTTGCCATTTTTTAATAGAGATTTTAATTATCTTTGTTTTCATAGTGTTGTCTAATGCAAAATTATTGTTCATCCATAAATATCTCTATCTGCATCTTCTTGCACCTATTTATAATCTATCTTTAGCGAAAAATGCGAGTTTTAAAACTTACGAGGAATCACGAGAGTAGAAGTGTCCGATTTGTTAGCAGGATATTCGAGTCATTTCGAAGTTGTCCAAAATTTTTTTACTGATAGAAATTTATTCTTATGTTAGCTTATGTTTGTTTGTGGTGCGGAATGGTTATTGGCCTCAATCCACACTGCACCTTGTTGTTACTTTTTTCATGACAAAAACTTGTTCTAACTGAAATCTTATGCGCTTTTGAATGTATCCATAATACATGTAAATAAAATTCAGAAATTTGTTTGTTGACGTATTATTCACGGTCTTCCACAACGGTATATGAGTGATACAAATTTGCGCCTGTCAGATTTGTTTACAAAAATCTCATGACCTATCTCAATTCAGCGTTTTTTTGTTGCCAGTATTTCATTTACTTATATGAAATGGTTGATTCTATCTGTTCATGAATGGTAATAAGAATGAACTCTTAAATTCTTTATTCGAATTTTTTTTGTCGTTGTAGTTCAAGCAGGTCATGTTATGGGATAACTCGAATTCCGTAGTGAGTTGTATGGAATGTTCGCCTAAATTATTGACTTCAGATTTAGGCCTTATAAAATTTGGAATGAGAAGACGAAGTATTCTGCGACCACCATGAAGTAAATTGTTAATTAAAAAAGAAAACCAAAGAAATGGTAAAAGTATGGGCACAGTTTTCAATTTTTCGTAAGTTTCGCTAAATTTAAAAATATTTCACTGTGCTTTATTTCCTATTTTCCTGTATTTGCTGCCTCTTCCTTGCGAGAAATTATTCATTAGTAGTTCTGAGGTATTGATTTTAAAGTCCACTTTATTTATCTTCTAAAAAACCTTTGACAAATCAAACGAGATCTGCACTTAGTTTAATTTAATTTTCCGACCTCGCGTTATCATCTCCCAGCTAGGCATTAAAAAATGAGTGTTCATAAAATCCGATCACGTCTCATTAAGCATTCTTATTTTCAGTCATATTACTTGTTACTAATGATAATTTATTAAGGTAGACTAGCATACTTTAAAGTCTATCTCAGGTAATTTTTTTTCTTTACGGCATTATTCTTTCAACTGAATCGTAATGTATGTTTGATGAAAATAATATCAGTTGACCTTGGACGGATGTCTATGTTATTTCAATCGATCGTTTTTTCTCTAATGCGATTTATTTCTTTTTTTTCGATTGGTAACGATTTTCCCGTAATGCTTGTAATTCTTCATTTTTTTGTTTAAATTTTATTCGACAAATTCATTGTCTTTTATTCTCTTAAGAACATTGACAGAAACTTCCGCATATTTTTGCTATAACGTCGCTTATTTTCTCTTAATACTATCAACTAATTTGTTATATTGACGTTGAAATTGTTGTGTAGTCAGAAATAATTTTTGTTCTATCACTTAAATATTTGGCAAATTTGACTGCTTCGTTTGCTTTACCCGTTTTAATCCTTTTCATCGTGTCCGTTTTCTTCAGTTCTTACTGCTTACTATTTATAAGTCAAACGTTCGATGTTTTAATTTGCCATCTGTGGAAATGGGAATGATATTTGTTTCATTTCATTTCTCGAAAGTTGCATTTCTGCTTTATTTCGTCCTGAATCAATACACTGTCCGAGCACAATGGCTGCAATCCTGGGTTAATTTTTACAGCTGAAAGCTTAGGCTTAATTTATGAAAAAAAATTGGAATGAGAATACTTTCTGATTTAAATAAAGTTGAAAGTTTCATTTGTTCAAAAGACTTTAATGTAATGTTAAAATTAAGTTTCTAATAAAATTAAAATTATCTCAGTAAACTTGAAGAAATGCTATTTCAGTTGTAAAAATACACGTTGACTAAATTTTTTTTAAGTGAGAAATTTTCAGCATTTCAATTTTTGTGAAGATATTTAATTCATTTCAGCAAGCGCATAACTTATTTGGCACCACTAACAAACAGGAAGTTCAGTGGTCAAGGAGTTCCCTGGAAAGATTTTGCCATATGAATAATCGACAAAGATTTCGAAACTTTCTTGAACCAATTCTTGTACCACGAATTGTTGATACACAGTCTCATGACGAAGTTGCTGCGGTGTGATTTTCAATAATTGTTTTTTTAACATTCCAAAAATTCCTGGCCATTTAATATAGTTCATCTATGAAAGTGATAGCATATCAAATATGTACTCCTGAGAAATGTAATGCCAGTATTTGATCCCTTCACTTTTAATCTATTCCTTGATTTCGCATAACAATACTCATTTAAATTTCGTTGTGCAGTAATATTTTTTCTTTTATTCGAGACTTCAGCATACTATTGAGTATTCAACAATTTGTTCTGAACTGCGCGGCTTTTAAATACGATTAATAAGTTTATTTGAATAAGACTGATCCAATTTTTGTTTCATTTTGTTAATTTTGGTGCTTTTTTAATTGAAAATAGATTTCCACAGCCAATTCCGTCACTTGGCGTCGTTTATTACGTATTGTTACCATTATTTGTTTTGATCCCTGATAATCTGTAGGAATGTTAGTATGATTGAAAGTTTTGCATATTTGATATTTAATAGTGAAAAGCTATTCTTTTTTGATTCTTTTGCATTTAATGCTTTTTGCGACTACAAAATTTTTCAGCACTTGTCAAGGACATTGTCGGCTTTAGGTTTTACAATTGAATGGGATTTGTTCGAAGAAGTTACTCCTCATGGAAAGAAATTATTCAAGACATTAATCGCCACGTATGATCCGAATGTCCCTAGACGACTTGTACTTGCTTGCCATTATGATTCAAAATTCTTGAAAGGGTAACCTATTCAAAAAGTCGAAATATTTTGAAATTTTAGCGATGCATTTTTCATTGCCATAATCTATAATTAGTTTCACGGATGACCAACTTCATTTCTCTATGTTGAATAGATGCAGGCATTATGTGTTTTATTTGTTAGATATATTCATCATTCATAAATCGGATATGATCTGGGGATATGCTAACAGTAATTATTACTACAGAGAAATTTTCATTGGTGCAACTGACTCTGCGGTACCTTGTGCAATGCTACTCGAAATGGCACATACACTTGGTCCACTCTTACATAATCGCAGAAGAAAAGTACTTGTCTTTTTTTATGAGAGTTCGCATCAAAAAAATTTGGTAGACAAGCGTGTAATTATATGAAATATTGATGGAATATTTTTCATAGATATGAAGCGTATTATTCGAATCTAGAAATTCAATATTTATTTTGCAGGATGTGACTCTTCAGTTGATCTTTTTTGATGGAGAAGAAGCATTTGACGAATGGTCAGAAAAAGATTCATTATATGGTTCTCGTCACTTAGCTTTAAAATGGAACCGGGAATATTTCTTGAACACTTTTCAATCGTCTTTCAAAATTAAGAAGGAAATAGATCGAATTGTGGGTTTTTTGTCCTTTAAGTATTAATGTTTGCTCATTTTTCTTGCCATGCAAAATCAGATCCTTATGTACACGTTTTTACCACCTCTCATAAACTAATTTTGTTTTGTCTTTTGAAATTGAATTATATTCCAATCATTGTTATTCATGAAATTTAACTAGTTTCAATCAGTATGAATATCTATCTCTCTTTCAATATTTTTAATCCTTTATCGATGTGGTGTAAAATATCTAGAATTTTTCATTGTTTTATAATATGATTTATGTACTTTATTGAAACCTTTTTAACTTTTTTGATCCGTTTTTTAAACTTCATTCAAGTTTTTCAGTTCAGCTATACGGTTATCTTTTGAATTTTTCATTTTAAGACAAATTTCTAGTTTTGCTTTTTACTTCTTTATTTCCTTATTATTTTAAGCAAAACAAATACAAAAAACATGTTGTGCGGCCAACGTAGTTGCTTAACTTTTGTAATTGAGGAAAACTAATCTTTATTACTATATATATTTAACTATCATTATCTAACCAGTAAATAAATGAAATATAAAATATATTAAAATTGTAATTTTGTGAAAGGTCAATATTTGGAAATTATTTGCGAGAGTAAAAAACTCCGCAAAAGTTTCATAAAGCGTCTTAAGAGTCATATTAAAAATATCAAATGAAATATATCATTGTTTCCAGGATTTATTTGTACTACTCGATCTCCTCGGTGCACCAAATCCGCTTTTGTATTACTTTGATGGTTTCTCATCAAAAAGTGCATTTTTGGAGATGGTGAAGATTGGTTGGTGCTTTATTTAAACTTCAGATTGCAATATTTGCTGTTTTTATTGTTAGATTTAATAGTATTTTGTTAATTGAGATTTTTTATTTTCTATCATATTTTGATGCAGCATTTCTAATGTTGTTGTTTCCCTATAAGATTAATTCTACTTCTAGTGATGCAAATATGCATGATATTTCTGCTACCATTCATCGTTATTATTCCAGTAATTTTCTGCCGTAAGTGGTCATTTTTGTACCGAATTACATCTCAGCTTTTTTCTATACTTTCTACATTTTCATTTTCTTTTCAGAAATGGAGCTAATGAAAATTGGTTGTTTGCATCAGTTGCAACGAATATTTCAACCTCAAACAGTTTATAGTAGAGTAGAAGATGATCACATACCATTCCTGAATCTCAGTGTACCTGTTTTGCATCTTATACCTCTACCATTCCCGGATGTATGGCATAAAGCATCCGATAATGCCAGTGTTTTACATTATGAAACAATTGATAATTTAATTTCCATCTTGAGAGTGTTTGTTTCGAATTACCTTGGTTTGGTTGCATAGGATCAAGTGCACTCGGAATTTTAACTTGAATAAATAGGATTACAACAAGACTTTTATTTTGATGCAAATTGTTAAGTATCTGTAAAAGAAAATGTATACTAAGCTGGTAGATGTGTAGCAAATTTTTAAATGGTTTAAAATTGATATTCTTTGGCATCATAAATGAATCTTTTATTTTTTATGTACGCCTTCGTCCTGAGTTAAATTTAGTTACGTTCGGTATATAAATCCCACAGTAGTTGGAATACTTTTAATCAAATATTCAGATACAAATCAATATGAAAATATGTAAATTACAGAAATCCTGTAATCTTATTTAAATTGCAAAAACCATCAATTTTGTTTTTTGTATCTGAAATGCCTAAAATTCCGAGTGCCCAAATCCTTTCCAACCAATTCCCGTTTGATAAAATCCATTTTCAATAGAATCAATGAAATCATTTACAGTGGTAATAATAGAAAAAGGAATTAATCATTAGGACCATTTTTGATTTTATTATCGGAGTTCAAATTTTTGGAAGGCCTAACTTTTTCTTTCCAATGTCGAAAGCAGTAAGGCAAATTGGTTATGCCAATTTAAGAAGCAGTATTAATTCGGCTGTTAAAGAAATCTTTGGTTGATTACGGACTGATCTCAATTTCAAGGAATTTGCAAAGAAAAAATGACATAAAAATCAAAAAATTAAAAGTATGAAAATCACAACAATCGCAAAGTGATTTTTGCTCTCTTATTTATTTACTTTTTTTCAGATAACTTTTCATATTTATTCGATAAATTTATTTGACAGGTTATGATTTTTTTCAGTTTGTTTGGCCAATAATTTATTGTTATTTGGTAGTAATAACAAAACAAAGTATTCTCTTATTACTTTGTTTTCTTTCTTAAATTATTTGAAGTATTAAACTTGGAATATGACATTCAGTGAGTTGTTTATAAACTGACAATATTCTTTTTCCCATCCTTTCCATGGAAAGCATTTCTTTTTTTTTGCTTCATAAAACTGGACATTGAAATAATTAAGAATTTCAGACTATTTATTATAGCTAGTAATCTCCAACTACCTTATAATTTTTTTGAATGAAAAACGGACTATGTATGTGTTATTAGCAATGAAGCTAGTTTTTTCATTCTATCTTTTAGTTATTATTGATCAATTTACTTGCAGCCAATTTTTTTGGTCGTTTAATTCGAAAGATCAAAATTGGGCTACTCTTTGATTTATAACTATTGTTGCAAAAATAAGAATAATTCTATCTGATTTTTTCGTTTATTTAATGCTTCCATATCATATATTATAAACAACTCACTGAATATCAAAAAAGAAATCATTATGGGATGTAATCACTGACTTATTGATATGTATAATCATTTACTCAGATATTTTTTAATATATTGAGAGAGAAAGGTACTAAAAACGAAAGTTTTAAAGAAGAGAGAGATGATAAAGAAGAAAGGGATGATAACGTGTTATTATATGATATGTAAAGTTGATGATAGCGCAGCTGACGTCTTTGTGATGTTTTTGATGATGAAGTCTCGAATTTTTTTATATGATTGCATATGATTATTAACGAACGTGACAATTCTTTCAGCGAAGAAATTTGATATTTTTTTGAAATTAAATTTACTTCGATCTAATGTTTGTATGTGACTTTTTATGGATTTTGTAGTTCAGAGGAATGGATGTGATTAACACTGGTGCCTTCTAGTAATATCAAAGCTATGTTGATTCAAATAACGAATAGGGAAACAGTTTTGTTGAGCGTTTCTTTTTACAGAATATATGTATGAAATGAAGAGTGATAAGCTGATAAGCTTATTGAAAGCCTCTGTTTTTCTCTTTATTTTTCTATGTTTTTCAAGTTCCATGTTGCTCACAATTTCGTACAATTTGTAAATCCTCTCAATTAATTATTCCACCTGTCATCTCTATACACTTCATCCTATATATGAAATGAAGGGTTTGATAAGCTTATTGCAAACTTTAAAAACAGTTATAAGAATAAACGATTATACAAACTATTGAAACAAAGAGCAAACTATAAAGAAGAAATTGATTTGAAGATAGGCTTGTCGGACAAGACAAATTCAATTAAGAAAAAAAATCTGCTTAAATTTATGCCTAAGCGGTTCACACTTTTTAAAATGCAAAATATCATTTAATGTTTTCATGCTTTCTTCCTTTTATCTATCCTATCGTTATTTATCCAGTGAATTATAAAACAAATCTTTTTGTCGACCTTTCCAGAAATCGTAATTGTTTATTTTTCAACAGCTTTTCACAAAATATAGCATACACTAACTGAGCAATGAGCAAAGTATCTAATGATCTCTTTATTTCAATAATCTTTTCCAACTGAACGGAGACTGATAAAGTTTATTTTTGAGAATTTATTAGATAATTGATAAAGATAAGATGAAATAAGTTGAATGTCAAATAATGGAATTTAAAGCACTTTGTATTCGTTGAAGGATTACGAAGATTAATCACTTTCAGTTCCACCTTTTGAAATTGAAATCTGAAAATGTTCAGAAATGGTTGAAGAATGAATGCCACATAATTGAAAAGGGAACATAAGGAGAGAAAACAAAATGCGCCCAAACTAAACAGTGATTTTACAACACTATGAATCATCTATGAGATGATTCATAGTGTTGTAAAATTACTAACTTTAAAATCTTACAATTAAAAATTTTAACAAAATACTATCGACCAATGGCAATGTTGAAATAAATGAAATTCAATTTCACTTTAAATAAAATTACATCTAAAAATTGCTGAATTTTTTTAAAACAAATTCAAAAAACCTGTGAATGCCGCGTGCATTTTACAATGTTAATTTTTCTAAATTTCGCTATTTTTAGCATTTCATCGGTGTTGCTTTAGTAATTTATAAAATATTTCATTGTAAAATCAATATCCCAAAGAATTAGTATATTTCGAGTTAGCTTAGTTTAAGCTTATCTTGTCTTCTTCCTCTGTGCTTTTAAAATTTCTTTTCTTCTAAAATATTTTAAATGTGAGTTTCATAGAAATCAATTTTAGGTTTCTTCTTGCTTGCATCTTACAATCAAAGATTTGACTGATTCAAAATCATTGATTTCAATTAAATTCTGATTAAACTACAAATGCCATGATAAAGGCTTCATTTAATGGAACTATTTCATACATATACAAAATGTTTAATTTTGAAAGATATTTTAGGTAAAAAGCTTTAAGGCAAAAAATGCTTTATATTACACTGTTGTTTCCTTTTTGGATTCTAAAATTTGATGATCTTAAATCCAAAAAAATGTTTTAGGCTAAATCGTTTATTGTTTAACAATGCATTGTTAAACAATAAATTTGGCTGGCAACAATAAGAATTGATATTTGTTAATTTTGAAACAATTTTTTTTTTTAATTTTAATGAGTACCAATTGATGTTAAAATATTTAAAATAACACTTTTACAATATTTGATGTGAAAATTTAGACTAAATAAAGGAATGGAAAGAGCAGTAACTTGTTAGAAATCTAATTTTGATTGACTCTAAACAGAGTGAGATTAAAAAAATGATGGATTTGAGAGATGGCTTATAAGCGATTAGTGAAGCCTATAGCCTTATAGGACTTGCAAATGCAAATTATATTGAATTGAAAATTCGGCACACATCAAAAATGTTTGTTTTGTTTAAACAATATTTTGAAGGCAAAAAAAATAATGAATGAAATAGTTTTGATTACGCTTTTGATTATGTCAAAAAATGCGCCAATGGATCGGATCAGGTCAAAAGATATGCTAATGTATTGGTTTATGTCTGGCCAGAATCAGTAATCTTGAAATAAAAATTGAAATATCTTAATTGTTACTAATGAAAATATCTCAAAATTAATTTTGTTTTAAAAAATGCTTAATTATTTGATACTCTGGGTTAATATAAATTTTGATGGACATTTGCTTTCACATAATTATCATAATGTAATTACAATTTGATAGATTTAGCTGACCACAAAAACTTCCAAAATTATGATTCTAATTCTAATCAGAGTTGTAAATCCTAACGATATAAAAGATACATTTCCTGTTAAATTACAGTATTCGGAAATGTTTATTCACATCTTCCGTTTTTAAAACTTATGTTTAATGATGGCAAGAATTTAATTATTTGCATTGCTAATAAATGAAATTATTTATTATCAGTTAAATTCATTGTTCAGAAAATTATTGCAATTAATTAATTGCATCTACAGATACAGTATTTTCTCCTTATTCTCTCTCTTCTCTCACAAAAAAAACTGTTCCCATGTTAATAATATCTTACCTAACCAATAAGTTGCAAACATCACATCTATTTATATCTTATTGCTTGTTGACAGATTTTTTATAAAGAATTTGATAGTAATAAGGAAATATTAAGGCTCATTGCTATATATCATTTGGACAAAAGGCATGAGAACTATTAATAACGAATGTTATTTTCGTTGCTAAGTTTTTTTTCCTTTGCATACTGAAATTTTATTTATTTATTCACCGTTTTGATGTGTCAAAGAGTACTGCAAGGTCATTTGACCCTTCTGGTTCATATGCTCCTACCGATAAATGTATCCCGTGTTTCGATTTACTTAAAATAGAGATTTATGTATTACTATCACAAATGTAACTTTGATTCAGCTAATTAATTAGTTTACTGATTTTCAATCAATTTTCAAATCTTTCGTAGCCTGTAAAAGTTGTAATTGATTATATCACTGGAAGAATATTTAATTTACTGTTGTCACTGGACAAAATTTATTTTTTCCTTCTTCTTTGAACCTTAACATTTTCTTTAGTCAATGTCTATGTTGAAAATGCCAGCGGATGATAAATTATTTTTTCTGAGCAGAGCTCTCTCCTTACACAACGCAAAAAATATATAAATAATTTAAAAACCTCCGTTTAAACTTATTTTTTCATCACTAAGAATTTGATAGATAGTAGGCAAAGCATTTGTGACTTCAAGTTCACTTTATTGTCGAAAAATTTTTCATCTGTTCAAATTATCATGTCTTGTGGTAATTTCATTCCTGCTTTATTTTCAATTTATTTATCTATACTATAATTTACACTGACTTTGTAAATTTTCCATTTCAGGTTTAATGTTTTTTTTGATGTTTGAACGAAGAAATTCTTAGGTTTATCAATCCATCTATAAAATTTGCATTATTATATTTTAGAATATATTTCAATTTTATGATATTTAAGTGCCATAGCTCATATTGTCTGAGTAATCCCAAACGTTATAGTGCTGCAGGGTCACGTGAGCTTTCCAATGGATAGCACGAAATGCATGAAATATTTCATTGCCTACAACGAGCCTACCGAAAATTTCGCTTAAATACTTTGTTACCATTTGTTATATTGATCTCATATACACTAATTGGCGCTGCTATTTTTCGCAAGCTCGAATTAGAGCTTGATTTACGTGAAAGGCAATTATTCCGTCGAAACTATAACTATGCTTTAGATCAGGTAAAATTTGAAACTCTTGCCGGTACTTATTTTCATGTAGAAATTAAAAGTATTTCGCTTGTTAACAGCTGCACATCAGCTGTTGGAGGATTTCGTTTTCAATCTTAATATCAGGCTTTCAATGCTGTTACTCTTAGCAATTAAATAATATTCAAAAAATTAAATTTATTTAAAAAATCAAATTAATGACAAATTAAATGAGTAATTAATTGAGTGACAAATTAACTTGCATTTTATAGATAACAAAACGAATGTTAGAGCTACGGTGTGATGATGAGGTGATTAAATTTAATAAAGATTTACAAACGAAGTATACGAAGGAAGCGGTGAATTGGTTTCTTGATTACACAAACTTGACAGGTGTTATCCGTGAACGGAGCGCTAGTAGTCCATGGTCATGGTATGGTTCAATGTTCTATGCTGGACAGCTGTACACTACAATCGGTATACATGTATATCCATCCATTTTGGAATCTTTTGAAGAAACGAAAAAATAAGAAATAATTAATGGGAAACCGTCGATTTGTATTGCAATTTATATTTTTGTCAATAGCGCAGATCATTGAAGAATGATGCGTTGAGAGTTGTATAATGAAATCATTCCTCATTCGATCGGCTCCTATCTTTAGCTCTTCACCTTTTCCTCTCACCTTTTTTTCACTTACTTTTTCACATTTAGCTTTTTAAAGTTAAAAATTTCACTCTTTCCCTTTCTTCTACTTTTTTGTTCTTTAACCCTCTATATTTCTAGGATATGGATTACCGACTGCAAAAACTCTTGCTGGCCAAATTGCCAGTATATTTTATATTATGTTCGGAATCCCAATGTTTTTAATTATTCTCAAAGATGTTGGTCGATTATTGTCGCGAAGTTTTCGTAAATTTTATAAACGATCTCGAAGTACTGGAAAGGAATTTATCGGAAGAGTGCGGAAGATAAGCATTTCAATGAAGGTTAGTTTTTTAAACTTTTTGGTTTTTGAATGAAAATTATAATTTCTTTAACTGTTCAGAGAATAATTTTCAAACCACCTCTTTAATACAGTCTTGCCATTTTACTTGAATTCTAATTCATTGACCCTTCAACTTTCAACTTAAAATAAAAGTATTATTTTTGAAAAATAAAGAATCCAGTTTTTTAGGCATTATATATTCATTTACCATCTAGGACGGGAAGTGTTCATTCATTATCTGTAAAAGAAGTTCATTTAGATCCAGAAGTTGGCACTCACATTCAGCAAAACACAAGAAAATTGTAAGACTTTTAAATTTCACCTCGCAAAATATTAATTGTATCAAATTTGAACATTCAAAAAAAAAGGAATTGAATGAAAGTTGTTAGCGCAATATTTCAGTACTCACGGGAATTCATTTTCGATTCCGATCGCTTTAGCGCTGCTTATCCTTTGGATTGGTTTTTCAGCAGCTTTATTTTCCCTATATGAACCTGAATGGGGCTACCTCACCTCTGTCTACTTTTTCTTTGTCTCTATAAGGTATTTTATATGTATTACGGATAATATAAATTTTTTTATCTGTTTTTTCATATTTTAAAGAAAAATTTTGGATTTCTTTAAATGTGTCTTTTGATTCCGCTAAATTTTTCTGATTATCAATTACTGAACAGTTTTAGATCGAAGTGATTGTAAAATTAAATAAATTATACTTTTCAGCACAGTCGGCCTGGGCGATATTGTCCCAGGTAATAAAGATATGATGCTCGGTTACTTTCTATTAATCCTCATTGGGCTTGCCTTGCTGTCAATGTGTGTCAATCTTATTCAAGTCAGTTAATTAAAGTCATAGGAATTCAATTATTGAAAAATTTTGTATAAATTCTTTTTTGAAATTTTAAAATTTTACTAATTGCTTTTAGAAAAAATGTGGAAATATTTCGTTATGAAGGTTTAGTTGGCTGTAATTCACTATCCAGCTTCTTTTGTTTTTTTGTTAAAATTTGAATATTTTAATAACAATGAAATGTTACAGGTAACAGGTTATTTTTACAATTAAGTCTGAATTAAGTCCTTATAAAATCTCGACATTACATCTCAGTTGACTTTTCTTAGCTAATATATTTCACAAAGATTTAATTCATTCGTCTGTCAAATTCTCTGCTTTTAGGTAGCAATAGAAAGAATTCTTGGACAACTCTTGCAGGAATATATTGATGAAATTGAACGGGTAGCAGCTATTGCGAAGACTGAAGCCGACTTTGAATCCAAAGTTTCACCCTACGAAGTTGGAATGGCTAGTAAGAGTTCTGCATATTACAATAGCAATATGTACAAATTGTTTACAATTATTTTATACTGGAGATAAGTCTGGCGAAAGAAGTTACGATGGCAATAATTTAGAATTAATGATAACACAAATCAGTGAGTGTTATGAAATTATTGAGGCCATTATGATTATATGTTGGTTTTCGTGGTACTGTCGTCGTTGGAAGAAATACTTGTCGATTTTTCGGCGCCTGGAACTAACTTGGAATCTTTTCTTCCTTTGAATTGAATGCCGAAAATTTTTGTAAACTTGTCAAATTGCTTTAATTTTTTGTGAGATCTGATAGCTAAATGGTACATGTAGTATGTCTTATTTCAGGTGGTTTGTTAACGGTTCCATTGGCGAAACAAAATAAAGCTATGCGGAGTTTGCCAAATCGATTTAAAGAATGGATTGCGGAACGTATCGCAAACAATATGATCGAATCACAACTTGATGAAATGAATTCTGATGTAGAATCTGAATCAGAGACATCTATTTCATTTCAGAATCAATCACAAGAAAAGCGACAAAAACAACGTGAGTTTTTTCCTTTCTTATTAAAATTAATGTTTGTCTTGAAAATACATATCATTTTATTAACTACGATTTTCTCAAAAACTCCAATGTTTATTTAGCAATCATGTTTTCAGCACGAACATGTAAAATTAATTTGGAAGAAATGCGTTCGAGACAGGGCTTACGATTTGGTAACTTTATTGATTGCTTATTGAAGCACATTCCAGCTATTCGTACTGTACAAGCATTGGAAAAAGCAAAATTTTATGCTCCAAATGATGACTTCCAGTAAGTTTATATAAACAGTACAATACGAATCACAGGTATCACAGGTGTTAATATTTGCTATGACAATCTCACCACTAACAATGTTGATAACGTATCTGATATCATTTGTAGCCTTATCAAATGAAATAACAACTTAAACATTCTTAGTATTCATAGCGAGCGAAGCACTCTTCATTTCAATATAATCTCATTTTGCACTATTTCTTCCGTTCGTAGCAGAATTACTATAGTCAGTTTAAAAAAATACATTCTCACCTGAAAGAAAGCAAATCCAACTGTCACTAAGAAGACAGCAGATCCATTATCATTATCCGAAAGAAAATGAATTCAACTATTATCATTAATTGAAAGGAAGTAGAAAGAATTGTCCCCAAATATTTTTTTTTGTCATGATTATCCAAAAAAATAGATCCAACTGTCATAATTATCCGAAAGCGGATATTCAACTAATATAATTATTGTTAATGGAAATGACTGTCAGTAAGGATCAATCTTTCGGACTTTTTTGTAAAATTAATGTTTTCGCACGTTTGCCACTTTTTGCGTATTATTTTAACACAATTTAAATTGTGCAAACAGTTTTTTTATCACTGATAATTTCTTTTTTAGATCAATGCTGTTTAGTAAATTTGTGGGAAACTCGAAACTAGAACGGTTTATGGATCAAATTTGTGATCCGGAACCTCGTACACATCATGCTGCTATACAAACCGATATCTTGCGACCTGCAAATATTGCTACCTTTGGAGAGGACATGCTTTTTTTTCGCGGTAACTAAGTTAATTTCCTATCATAATAATTAATAAAAGCAGATATTGTTATGAAGAAGGAGTACTGTATATGTATCTGATCACAGGTTCACAAGATTCATCAATCATCCGGTCTGATACCACCCACCAATCGACTAACTCACTTTCTTTTGATACGGAAAGTGTATTTTCTGATGCCTTCGGTGATATTGAATTTACGGAAGCATGCGCTCCTCTCGCTCTTAGTGATAGTTCTATGAGTTCATCAATTACTTCAATCCAAATAGCACAACTATCATCAAAGAAGCCATTAGAATCAGCCTCAAGATGGGCGTCCAAATGGTAAGCACTGTCTTAATGCTTCATTGTTCTATCTGCTGGCCGTAATATTATGTCTTCCACATCCTTATCTAAAATAGTCTTTTTTCCTTCGATTTATTTATATTATAAGTTTCGATAACTGTAGTTCCATCAAACTCTCGAATTTTTTTGAGTTTTAATATATTTAAACTTATTTTTAAAATGTTCTTCTGATAAAAATCTTGCACTTTTCTCACAATAGTTGAAATTTATATCAAAAATATTTCATTATTTTATTCATGTTAATTAGCAACTGAAAATTATTTGTGCCAGAAATTAATACAAATATAATCGTGCAGGAAAGAAATATCGAGAAATCTGAAGTCAAAATCCTGTTATGGTGCAATATCTCCATACTCCGGTGAATACTCAACGATAGTTTCAATACCTCCTATATTAAATACACAATTTGTACGGAGCAGAAATTATTGTCGAATTGGGTATTGCTTTATTTATTTTCTTATGAATTATAAGTTTTGACTAACATCATTTTCAATTAAAAAATTCACCATCCCCATTTTTTATTGTGTCTAATTCCAATTTGGCTTTTCAAATGCAAATTATTTCTTTCTAAATTTCATTCACAGTAAATAATTTGTAGTTCACTGCCATCATCTTTCCAACGTTCATCATTGCAATCGGTTCCCTCACAGTCTTCACGAAAGTGCAGCGATGAATAATAGCCAAGCTCTCAAACTTAATACTGATGATCGATCTTCGACTTTGGACCTTCTCAATTTTTAATGGGAGCTGAATAAAGAGTGCTTCGGAAAGGTTGTAAATAAGCTGCAACAAGGATGCTAATGATCCGTCAAGGGAAAAATGAAAGTACAAGTATGCAGGGAAGAAGGGTGCTAAGAAGTAGTATTTGGGAAGACCAGTGGGAAGATTAATTAATAATTAGTTAAATATTTCATTATATTTCATTATAAATAAATGCCAAAAGTATATGATAAATGATTAATTTGAATTGATAGATCTTCTGACTTTTACTTGTTTTTATTGCTACCATTAGTAATCTCGAATTTCACATGACCTAACCTTTCAAGTATTCCATTACATTCCTTTACAGAAGACAATGAAAATAAAAAAGACTAAAAATAAATAATAGGAAGGGAATATATGACTGGCAACAATAAAATAATTTATATAAGACTAAGGTTAAGTAGATCATTTCAAGTCATGCAACATCGTGTGACAGTTTGCATTATATAATTGGATGTGAAAAAAGAACAGCAAGATAAAATAGCGTCCTTATTAATTTATGGAACCGATGAAACTTTTAAGAGTTTGAAATTCATTAACTTTAAATGTGTTTATTAATGGCTCTTGAAGTGAAAAGGCAAAAGTGAAATCAGTGATACCAATTAAATTACGCATACAACTGCCAGTTATCAATGTGTAAAACGTATGCGTGTAAAAGGACTCGAATTAATTGTTCAATGTTCGCTTATAATTAAACTATCAAAATATTAAGTAAGAGATTGAAGTTCCGTGACGCATTAAAATAAAATCACGTTGAACGTGTCCTGCCAAACGGCGCAACATTTGAGTGCGATGTAATTATGAACATGGCTATACTTCAAAGATAATCTGATACTCAAAATCGTTGTTAAGACAAAAGATTAATATTATCTCTTAATCTAACTAAAAACAATATTTCATGCATGCAAATAAATGTTTCTTTCATTGCTTTTTATTCAAGTTTTCAATTGAAAGTGATTAATCTTCGTAATCCTTCAACGAATACAAAGTGCTTTAAATTCCATTATTTGACATTCAACTTATTTCATCTTATCTTTATCAATTATTTAATAAATTCTCAAAAATAAACTTTATCAGTCTCCGTTCAGTTGGAAAAGATTATTGAAATAAAGAGATCATTAGATACTTTGCTCATTGCTCAGTTAGTGTATGCTATATTTTATGAAAAGCTGTTGAAAAATAAACAATTACGATTTCTGGAAAGGTCGACAAAAAGATTTGTTTTATAATTCACTGGATATAATCCAATATAATAATTATCATAAATTATTTTCTTCAATAATCAATATCAATTTCATTTTGAATTTAAGAAAATGGAAATTTTGAAAGATTGTGCGAAGAAGTAGCGATTTGATTTTAATCGATATATTATCCTAACAATATAACTTTTATGTTTGCTTAAATTTCTCGGATAAAAGTTTGCATTTTATACTGCAAATTTCAGTGAAATTAACCGTCGAAAAAACATTTTCAGAAGTTAAAGCAAAATATTCCTGTAAAAAAAATTCATAAATTCAACTTAATTCATTTATAGACTAAAGTCAAATCAATAAAATTTCTATCAGAACTATCAACCATGTTAAATTCTTTTATATAAAAGAGAATTAATAAATAAAGAGTAGGTACCTCGAAAAAGTTTTGAGTTCACTCTATCATTTGTTATTCTTCACTTCGATGGCAAGAAATTCAGTACTATTTTTAAAAATTAAACTGAAGCAAATTAACAACAAATCATTTTACATTTTTCTATCTTTGCTAAGATATATTCTATCATTCATTTCATTCTTCTCAATATTTTTTTGCTTCAATTCCTAGTGAAAAATAGCAATTACTGATAATGTTTTAAGAATTCATTTTCATTTTTGATAATTTCGATTAAAATCAATTTTCAGATTAAAAAAGGGAAGAAGAAGAGAGAGTTTAAAACGGATAGATGCCATTTTGTATATTTTTTCTCTTCTAATTCTTTTAAAAAAAATATTTAAAATTTTTGCTTTTAACTCATTCAATTAACGAAGCAAGTGAATCTGTCCCGCTTAACTCCATTTCACAGTGATATCTCGAAAAGATTGAAAATAGTGAAGGGCTGCGATTTGAAGAGGAAGAAGATTCAAGGAAATCTTCCATAACGGAAATTTAATCGAATTATATTCACATCAAACGGGACATTTCTTTTTTCAACCACAAATAGTTTAGTATTGATAAAAGACAGAGAAGAAATTAAATTTTTTTTAAATTTGATTTATTTCGATGTCATTGCTGGCTGGCATGATCGAATGCTTTCATATTTGTAACTTTTTTTTTTATTTCGTTGTATCTTTTTTTAAAGTTAGTTTTATTGAATTTTCGAGTGAATTCTGTTTGAAAACTATTTCTGAAATTAATTTCCATTCATTTCACTTCTCATTTTTTTCTTTTATTGCATTGCCTAATTATTTAATTAATTTTTGGATTTTAATTCAATTCTAAAACTTTCTTATTATATTGGACATCTTAAATATTCATTTACGCTTTTGGCATAATTAGTTGCTCTTTGCTCTTTCATATGGAAAATAACTTTTGACTTCTTACTATGACAACTAGCTCAATTAATATAATAAAGAAATTACCTGTTAATCTTCTCTTCTTTTTATCTGTCTTTGTTACATTACAGATTTGTGGTACCACTGATAATGTTCAATTTTTATGCTCTCAAATTTTAATAAATTTAAATAATGAACGGAATTACTATAACTTGTATTGTAGCAATTACAATAATTTATTTAGGATAAAAGAGAAAAGCGAATGTTTTCTTTTTAGATTCTTTAAATTTCGTTTTGCTTAAGGATAATTTGCAATTAAATAAAATTTATTACTTTCTTTTGAATTTTCTTTTGTATTATTTAATGAGCAATAAAACATATATAAAGGTAACAGATTTGAAATTAACCAATGTTTATTTCACTTTAATTCAAAATAAACAGAATAGGAAAAAACGAAATGAATCTTTTTTCTGTCAACAAAATGAATTTCCATTGATTAATTTCAAATTGATATATTTTACTGTCATTTGATTAATTTTATTCGTCGCATTTTATTATTTGAATTCTGTTAGCTTTATTATATGAGCTATTGTTTTATGAAATTATTATTTATGATAATATATTTCAGCAAATATAATTTATTTTACACAAAATTTCATAATAAGATGATCAAAAAAAAGTTCTATGGAAAAGATAAATGTTTTTTTTAAACGAAAAGAAATCTTTCAGTCATCCGATACATCAAAACAAGTTTTTTTCTAAATTCTTTCCGATATTTCGATTTATCACTTTGAACTGTTTTCAGTCCATAAAAGAAATGCTGCTTAAATCATTTATCTATCATTTTAGAAATTATGCTTTGTCGAGACAAATAAATATGAAAATCCTTACAAATATTTAATATATTTTCATGCTATCTAAGTGCGAAGATAAGAATATAATATTGATTAAAAAGTTCAATCGATCACTGATCGGAATTTATTTGTGAAATTGAAATTCTATGAAAAAAAGCCTTAGCAAATTTGCATTCGTTTGATCTTTGTTCTTTGTATAGCACAAATGAAATTCATTCTATTCAATCATTTTGTTCTAAATAAAATTGTTTTCCAACATTGGTAAATGGATATTGATTTTTGTCCTATGAATATTATTTAATGGCAAGTATATGACACACTGCTCCAAATTCATTATTGATCGATCATATTGATCAAATTGATTCACCTCCCAACGGTTTTACATCCTTTCAATCCTATTCAATGACCAGCATATTCTTTTTTATTCAAATACAAAAATATTGATCCATCGATTGATTAGCAAAATGTAAACTATGGCATTCAATGTGTTTTGATCTTTTTGTTGCAATATTTTCATCTCTTTTATTTATTCATCAGAAAGGTTTTAATAAACAATTCATCCTAATTACACTTAACTTTACCTTTACCTTTATCATACTATTGTATGCAACGAATTGTTCTGTTTCAAGATTAATATTTTGCTAATTATCTCAATAAATTGGGAGAGAATTAACCTTAAAAAGAAAAAGCGTTATTACCTCGAGATTATTCACTTTAGAAATCGTCAATTTAGCATTATTTGCTTTTAAAAAATTTGATGATTTAATTCAATAAAGTTCATTTTAATTAATGTAATTGTATCATCGCTTATTCTCACTACCACGATTACCATTATTATGACCTAATTACTAAATATTAACAAAAGTCTTCACAAATTCTATCATTTAGTGATCTGTCAATTATCGTCTAGCAAAATGATAAACCAAGTATGGATACATTTAGCTTTACTGTATCTCTCAATAGTAGTGGTATTTTAATACTATAATTTAAAATTTTTCCTGATTATGTAATGTTGGTACTGTCATCAGTAGAAGGACTATTATTGATGATTCAATTCAATTATCATTACCGAATAAAATATATTTCATAATGCTTCTATTCACTATATAAGTGTTTATGTTCTGATATGTTCATTGTTGCCTATGTTCATCTTCTTAAATTTGTCAATTTGCCTTACCTCCTTATTTATTATTTATTATCATCACTTCTTATTACCCTTATCAGTAATGCGAAAGTTTATGAAAATAAACTGATAATAATAATAGTAATAATAATAATAAATAATGATAATAAATAATAATAAATAATAAATAGTAGATAATAGATAACAAATTAATAAATAATAATTTAATAAATTAATAAATAATGATTAATAAATAATAGATAATAAATAATAAATAATAATAATAAATAATAATAATACTTAACATTCATTGTCAACATATTTAATAATTGTATTCGATTAATTTTTTACTTGTTCCATTTCCTTTCTGTCCTCAACAAAATGCGGTTGATGAAACATTTTTCATATCATAATGAAAGCTTCTCCAAATTTCCTTTCTCTTCTTTACCATTTATCTTTCATCATTTATAAAATTTAACGATCACAAATTTCTATTATTATATTTGCGATTTTTCAGGCAATCAACAAACATACAAATTTAATATCATAGAATTCTTTTTTAGTAGCAGCATGGTATGTTAGGAATAGAAAAATTCTCATACCATTTTAAAAAAATTAATATATTCATCAAATATATTTTTGTCAGATATTAAAAATCATTTGTTAGCAAAAAGATGTTGCATAAAAGCTTGTGGTACCATTCGTATCGTAGGATATGGTCATATAATTTAGTCAAAACGAGAATTTCAATGACAGTCGTATTATAGGCCAAATTTATCTAACGAGCTTCGACACAATGAAGGCTCTCAGATTTTTATTCTATGATTAATTCTATAGTTGAAGATTTATTAATTTGAATTTTCGAACTTTTTTGAAGTTTGATATCATTGTATTTCTTCAAATTTCTATACGCACGCAGAAAAAAAGGAAATAATATCGTCGCCCCACTACATTGAAACTAAGTTTTCTGATAGATTTTATCAAAAAGTTCTACAATTTGCAAGAAATTTTAACATATCAGTTCAAATTTAGAAAGCACTAATTTGTGAATGCGTGCTGATAGCGATTGATAAGACCGAAAGGACAAAATCAATGATAGATTCTTTAAATCATAAATTATATCTTATAATTTGTGGAAAAGATTATTTTTTATAAAATTTCTTGGACCTGATATTATAAATATGGACAAATATTACATCTTTTCAGCTGTTATTATATGTAAATTTCGTATCGTTCAATGATAATTTCATTGGACAGCTGGTACTAGCGCTTTTTTTCGAATAGTCTGATCAGCTTTTTCTCATAAACTTTACATAAATATTTAAAATTTTGGGAAAAATGATTTTCGAAATATAAAATCTACTATATTCATCCTTTTTTGGTGGTTTAGAGAAAGAAGAAAGAAATAACTTTTTCGACTGGCTCGATTGCTCTTTTACTTACAATCCTTTTAATCTTCCCTCAATCCAACTTCAAATTTAGCTTCATTCTTATGTTTGATTATGACAGTTTCACTGTTAATTGTATCTGTTCATTCAATATATGAATATTTAACTTAATTTACTTTTCCACTAATCTTTCCATTCATTATGACATAATTTGGAAAAACTATCCAATGAAATTAAGTAAGAAATTTTATAAAAATAATAGGGTAAACTTATTTGCTTTGCTCTCTGTATTTTGTTCCATTACATATACATCCTTAGAAAGATAAATTTTGAATTAATGAAAAAGGGAGATGTGAGAGTTGAATAAATGCTTTCGTTGATTGTAATTAAGTAAATCTCCATTAATATGTTCTTTACGATAGCTATAGATAAGCCGATAGATATGGTCAATTATTTCAATTTTTTAACGAAAGTTTCGCGGAGAAAAAAATGAATAAAACATTTGAAGAAAGAAAATAAAATTTCTCTCATTAAAAGAAAACAAAAGTAATCAAATAATTTAAAAAGAAAATTCAAATAAAACTTGAACTGTATAATACGTGAATTGTACTGTAAACATCTTATTCGCAAGCTATTCGATACAACTTTGTTGTAATCTTTATTCACCTAATACCGAAATACCATTCTTATCACATATCTAAATTTACATTATATTCAGTGAGAAATAAAAAGACAATGTAGTCAATATAATAATTTTGCCTTTTATTTTCTAAAGCTTTATCTCTTTTAAGTATTTTAGAAAAATATTTCATTGCAATTTTTGCTTAATGCTAAGTTTGTTTTTTACGCCTTATCATTATTTACACTTAAATTCATCCGTACTAAAGTCCCTGAAGACATAATAGGCCTAAAGATATCAAATATCGTTAATCGTTATTCCCAAAATTTTCTTCAGATCTGAAAAATAAGAGGGAAGCGCTAATGAATATATGAAGACGGAATTTGCTGAGTGTGACGGATATGTCGATCCATCGTCTACCAAGCACAAAAAAACCACCGGAGTTAATCGATAATTACTTTACCACCGGTGAACAGGTTTACAAAATTGACAGTGTAAGCTTATTTCTCTTTTTTCGAATATCGTATTTTATGACAAACTAATTTAATTTTTATCTGATTTGATTCAATTTGATGTAAATCTAATTTGAGCTCTGTTTTTCAGATTAGTGATCAATTTGAGGGACGTTTTGTGCATTTGTCATTGAGTTGCGATGGTTTAATATTATTCTGGAAACAGTATAAGGTATTTTTTCTTCTTTTAATTTTACTCATAAAAATTGAATGAATTAAAAAAAGAAGTGAAAAGAGAGAAAATAAATAGAGAAAATTAAGAATAAAATGGAATGAAATGTGATAAAATATTTTGTTTAACTTAAATACGAAATTTGAATAATAATTTCAATCTTGAAAATTAGAATAATGAAGTAATCGCTTCGGAATTTTACTATATCGACGATATCATTGATGTATTTTCGGGTTGCTGTGCAGAAAATTCCCGACGAAAAGGAATTCATCAAAAGGTACACACAATTTGTTATTTTTTTTCCATTTCGTAAATTATAGTTATATGTTAACAAAGTGGGAATTACTAAGTAACATTAAGTATAAAGCAAAAGTTGAATAATGCATTAGAAGGAAGGAATCTTGCATGCTTCAGTAATTTGCATTTTAGCAATACTGAAGTGATGCGAATGATATAATGCTTTTTCAACCTTATGAATGCAACCAGTAAAATATCATTTAAACTAGTTCAATAATAATTGTACAATTATCAGGAAATAAAATTCTTAAGAGCTACCGGAGAAAGAAAATTTAGGAATTTCAGCAATTTTAAATAGCTCAATGCTCAGAACTGATATTACTATAAATGTTATCTTTTAAGTTTAAAAAACAAAATTTATTGATATAGCTTGTGCCTTCAAAACTTTTCTAACTTTTTGGCTGTTAAAATTTATATGAACTTATGCTAATTAACAAATGCTAACGTAAAATATAACGCTGACCTAATCGATTTATTTAGCAGCACTTTAGCAATACTGAGAGGTGAGAATGGTATGATAAAATTAAGCATTGAACTAAGAGAATTTCACAATTTTAAATAACTGCAAGTGAGAATATATAAAATTAGAGTTAGTTGGAAGTTTTCATATTTAAGATTTATCATCTTTTCTTGTTAATTCTATAAAAGAATTTTCCAATTTTCCAGTTGGATGGTTACGTTAAAAAAACACTTGGTGGTACATTTGTATCGGGGAAATGTACGCTGTCAACTCATTTTCTTACTGTAATGTGTGGTATCGACGCTGTCACTCCAAATGCGCTAATTTTTCTTATCGATTGCGAAAATAATGTCATTGTAAATCATTATCAACATTGAAATTTAATTTAAAAGAAAGCGGAATTTTTCTTTAAATTATACTATAAAACAATAGAAATATTACTTTTTTCATTACAATTAAAGTTAAAGGATTATGAAATGATTTGAAAATTCAAATTTTCTAAATAGAAATGATACTATGAATTATTCATTTGATTAATATCAGAAAAAATTCATAATCATTCAGAATGTTAACCTTGCTCCTCTTATCATTTGAATCAAATTGTGAATTAATCACAGAATCTTTTCTAAAGGTGAAAGGCCAAGAAGTTCACAGGATGATAATAATGTCTTCATTTTTCATCCTTTCATATTTATCATTGGCGTGATAATGCTAATTTAAAAAAAAAACAAAGGGTAGAAAAGGGAAAAATACTTTTCAGCGTTGGCTTAATGAGCTTCGTCGATTATCAGTGAAAGCATCGAAAGAATTACCACTTCAAGGTTGCTTTTATTATTGGCAGCGATTGTTTACCAAAATCAAACATTCCACAGATACCGATCAAATTTCAATCAATGAGTTTGTTTTCTGTATCCTTAAATTTTAGAAAATTTTAATCCTTCGGTTTCTTTGATGATAGAATATGTTTTTTCTTTTTACATAATTCGTTCGTTATCCACAAGTGATTGTAAAAAAATCGAACAATTTATTTTTTGAATAATTAGAGCTTATTTAAATATGTAATAGTTTTAATGTATTATTAATTAAATTAACAGTTACAAATATTTCAATTGCATAAGAAAAAAAGAGTCAGTATGAAAGCGATTTTCCAACTTTCAAATAACACTGTAAAATCAAACTTAAAAGTTAAAAGAAATGAAAAATTGAATGAAATATATTTTCGCCTTAGCCAATATGGCCATATTTTATAGCTCCGAATTTTCATCGAATTGAATAATAACATTTACTTAATTTTATTTAGTATATTGGATGCTGTTTTATTCACAAAAAATAAGGAAGATCGGAAAGATATTGAAAAATCGTTGAAGACACTTTCCGCCTTTCATAGTAAGGTTGTGTTTGTTTTTTGTTCCTATTGAAATTTTAAATCATTGATTCTTAATTCATTACATATTAAAAAAGAAAATAGAAAGTGAAGAAGAGGACAATTGAAATTTTGCTATATTTAATAAGCTGTATTAAATCAATTTAGGAAACGATTTCAGTGGATGAAATAACGAATGATTTCATATTTTCCTGCTATTGCTGTATATGTGGACGAACTGACGTAGATTATATATTTCATAAAAAGTAAGCCAAAAACTTTTACCGCCCTTTATGTCGATGAGCGGAAAATGTTTTCTATTACATGCTTATGCTAGATTACTGATGTAAATACATGTTACGTGTTGGAACTATTATGTTTGCAAGAAATATTTGAAAAAGTAGAAGTAGAGCTTCTTTTTTTTCAAAACAGGAATTAGTAGGAAAAATGAAAGATAAGATAGGTTGAATAAAATGATTTAATGCTTAATTAATAGTAAAGGGATATTTAATTATCAATTTCTAAAATCTGAATTAGCTCAGAAAGTAACATTAAAAGAAAATAGAAAACAGTAAAAAACGACAGAGAAAACTTGGAAATTTTTTTTTTCGCTTGTGATATATTTTGTGATGATTTTCTAAATTATAATTTTAGATTTGCTGGGAGGGAGAGAGTGGACGCAGAACATTTTGCAAAGTATCTCAAAGAGGAACATTGTGATCCGAGGCTTAATGAAATGCTTTATCCTTCTCCTACCACAGAAATTGCTCAGTGTTTAATTAATGAAATGAGCAAGAATGGTATTTTTTTTTAATATGAATTTACATTTCGATCCTTTTTTAAGTGAGTATTGTTTGCTATTTAGCATCTTTGCATGTATCGCTTTATTAATTCTTTGAAGATGCAGGAGAGCAGCTAACGAAAGAATCATTCCTGAGATTTCTACTAAGTGAGTACAACATCGGGATGCACCGGGATCATCTGATATTAAAGGAAGAAAATATGCACAAACCGCTTTCCCATTATTTCATTAACAGTTCTCACAATACATATCTCAGAGGTTTACATTCATTTCGATATATCAAAGCAATTACAAAAATATGAATGACATCGATGACACCGAAAACAGCAAAAATTAATAAACAGAAATGATTTAAAATGGATTGATCCAAAAATGGAAATAAACAAAACGATCAGAACTGATTTATTGATATTTGTGTAATATTATTCCCCACTTTTTCGACAATTTCCAAATGAATTAATTTTAAAATAAGTTGGTCATTTGAAAGTTTTTTGAGAAATTTCTGACAGCTTGTTAAAATGAACTTTTTTCACAATTATAGACACTTTCAGAAGGAAATTTCATTTTATCCAACATTTTATTAAATAATCATTGAGACAGAACAATAAATATTGACCAATTAAACTGTTTGTTACTTTTTTTAATGAGAAATTCGTTTAATAATATGCATAACTTTTTTTTAAAAAAAAAATTTGCATAGGTTATCAAGTGAATTCCAAAAGTTCTGTGGAAATGTATCGTTATGTATTATTATCCGGATGTCGTTCCATTGAACTTGATTGTTGGGATGGATCAGGTGGTGAACCGATCATCACACACGGGCCTTCGCAACTTACACGAGTTACTCCTGTATTATTTAAGGTTTACACTTCATTTTTTAATCAATTCTGTAAAACATTTAAACTAATAGATGGCAATATCTCCAATGGCATTAGGAAAGTTTAACAGTGAGAAAGATTGAAAAAATATTACAATTAAAAATGACAGGCATCCCATCAAAGCTATTCTTACATATGTAAATCTTCTTAATTGCAAAAATGAAAATCTGCGAAACACTCTTTCAGAATGTTTTTTAAAACGAGTGGTCATTTTTCTCTCATCAAAAATGACCTTGCCTTTTTCAAAGGGCAATTTAAATTAATGAATATGATCAACGAGTTTTATTGATACAGATCAGAAAACAAATTTCAGGATGTTATTATGGCAATTGCGGAAACGGCTTTTGTGATTTCTGAATTTCCGGTTATTCTATCATTAGAGAATCATTGCTCCCTGAAACAACAGAAGAAAATGGCATTGTATTGCCAAGAAATTTTCGGAAATTTTTTACTCACAGAACCATTGAGCGACTATCCGGTGCTTTGGCATTTATTTTCTTAAAATTTACTCTCGCGAAATTTGATCATTTAATTTGAAAATTATGTGCGATTTAAAATTGACAAGGTGAAATGAATTCATAAAATTATTTAGATTAAGCAGGGTGTGAGTTTGCCATCACCAAATGTGCTCAGGAAAAAAATTTTGATCAAAAATAAGAAAATCAACGACGCAGAAGCAGAAGATTTTTTTAGCAAATCAGTTTGTAAGTCAAAAATAATTTACTTATAAAATTATTCAATTCCTAAAAATTGGAAGTTTAAAGAATTCCTGCAATAACGGCTTTCCTCTTTTAGTACTTTCCTTCTCAAATTCACTTCCTCTATTGATTGTTTCCTTTTCAAAATTAGGTTGGCTCAAGTTTTATTGAAAATGCTACCATTTAATTCAATAATAGAAAAACTGAATTAATTGAAACTCGAAATTTTCAATATATCACATACGTTTAAGTTAAAATTGATATTTGTAGCACTTTTTCCCTATAATTTTTAAATATTTCTTCCTTTAGTGCCTGTTTTAATATTTCGAATAGATTCATAAATGGAAATCATCAGATTCAATAATTAGTGACAAAAGTTTATTTCCTATGATTTTCATTTCTCTCTTTGCTGTAAACATCAGAAATAAGCTATGTGGTATATTTTAAAATTATAAATTATGTACTTTAAAAACCATGTTAAAATTATAAACTATGTGGTATGGTGTACTTACTATACGGTACTATGTGGTATATGTGGTATAAAAATAAACGTTACCACTTCAAATGATGGTTTCAGCGTCAACGTCACAAAATGTTGTGGAAAGTGATCTCAGTGAAAGTGAAAGCAGTGAGAAAGGTTCATTTCAAAATTTTCGGAAACGATTTTCAATTATATTTTATCAGAAAATTATATTCAAATTGAGCTAAAATTGTGTCTCTTAAAATGGTCGTTTTTTTCGCATTAAATTATTTTAAAATTTAGACGACATCGTTCATCAAAATGGAGCGAATACGCAGGAGCAATCACGAGATTCCGTTAGTTAATGAAATTTTGAGATTAATCTTTTATTCCTTAAAAGTTTCAAACCGTTGATAAGTCCTAGAAAATTGCAGGTTATTGCTCGTGAACTATCGGATCTCGTAAATTATATGCGTGCGTTGGGAAAGTTCACATCATTTACTGATTGCGAAAGTAAGAAATCTTCTTCTTTTCTTAATTTATAGGATTCTGAAGTAATTAATAAATAGCTTCTTTCGTAACTGATAATTTTGATTTATCCAGCCTTTTAATTTTTTAGTATTTTACAACTTTTTGGTAAATTTTGTTTTTTTTTTTGGAAAGACAATATCAATCCAATTTTTTTAAAAAAATTTAATTAAAGTATAAATTTCGAAGATTTTTATTTCATCGCATTGTTTTAATTTTTTCTTATATAAAACCAAACGATACTTATTATTTTTCAATTTTTCCTTCTCTTGTATTGCAACAATTGAAATTATGTGATACAGGTAAACAATTGAGTTATGGAATATTTTCGATGAATGAATCTCGTGCCTATGAATTGGTAAAAGAGAATCCAATTGAATTCGTTAATCACAATAAGAAACAAATTACACGTGTTTATCCAAAAGGCAAACGTGTTGATTCCAGTAATTTTTGGCCTATTGTATGTTTCTATCATTTAAAATTTGCAACATTTTTTTAAACCAATTTATTAAATATTTTCAATTGTTGCAAAAGATTTTTTCGAGACCGATTTTTTTTAGAAATTTTGGAATTGTGGTTGTCAAATGGCAGCTATAAATATGCAAACACCTGATATACCATTTCAAATGAATGTTGCATTTTTCGAACAGAATGGCCGTTGTGGATATGTTCCCAAACCAAGTTTAATGCGTAAAGCTGATGCAAAATTTAATCCTTTTGAAACGCATACAATGGATCTTGTTGTACCTGCCTATCTTTCTATTACCGTTAGTTTCATTTCGGATTTATTCCTGAAATTGAGATTTTTTTTTGACTTCTTGATCAGCACAAGCTATTTGTAGATAATTTCTGCTCAGATGCTATCATTTGCATGCGAGAAGCGTCCTTCAACATATGCAGAAGTGAATTTTTATGGGCATTTTAATGATTTATCACGATTTTCGAAACGAAAATATCGTACGAGAATTGTTATGGATAATGGAATTAATCCCACTTATATGAATTTTTGTGAAGAAGGCTTCAAATTTGAGAAGGTTAGTTTTACCTTTGCAATTTTTAGAAAGATTCAGATGTTATCGCTGCTAGTGAAATGCTGAAAAATGCATCAATTTTCATTTCAGTTTCTTACGTTTGCTATCGGATATAAGCATATAAATTTAACATTAAATTTTGTGACATTGAGAATTTACAGAAGTCAAGTGTCAGTAATCACACTTTCGTTTTACAGATAATATTTCCGGAGATGGCATCAATTCGTTTGTCAGTATACGAAGAAAATGGTCGTCTTATTGGACATTGTTTCTTACATGCAAGTTTACTCATTCATGATTTCTAAATTACATAATAAAATTACTCTTCTACTTGTCTATTGGAATTTTCCGAGCATTTCATTAACGATCTTTCTGGGTGACTATATAACTTAACTACAGCTTTCTGAAGGAGATCAATGTTCACTCTGCGTTTATTATTATCTTCAATTTATCCATGATATTATTGTATTTTAAATGATTTGCTTGTTATTGAGCTTCAATTGAATCCTTCTGTCTTATAGAATCAGTCTATTTGTAATAAAATAATTTCAGGTCCGTTCAATTCAGCCAGGATTCCGACATATTCCGCTTCGAAATGCTCACAGTCATCCATTGGGTCCTGTATCACTGTTTGTTTTATTCCTTGTTCACGATTATATCGACGGTGGAAGCGTTAGTACGATTTATTCAATATATTAAAGATCTTTTTTCGAAATGAAAATCAGAATTAGTCATATTTTTATTGTCCCTATGTTTATCTATCAAATATTTAATGATAAAGCAAACTGACCACTTCAATGGAATAGTATCGAAAATAAATGATCTACATAAGTGTTGCATTCAAATTTTTTCTGCAACCAAAATATTAAATTCACAAGTTTTTTAAATTCAATGTTCTTTGCAAGTTTTGCTAGATATTTAACCGTTTATTGGAAGAAACTAGTAAATTTTTCATTGCAGATTTGGTAAACGCACTGCAAAATCCAATTGAGGCTATGAAGAAGATAATGGAAAGTGAAGAAGGTATGCAAATGTTATCAACGGCTCAGATATATTTAAGCTTAATTTTTGATTAAAATTCCTGAAACCAATTGATTTTCTTCAAATGCATTTGAAATATCGAAGACTAAATCAAACGATTAAAACGCTTGAAATTTGGCAATGATTGGTTAATTCATAACAGTTAGAAGTTTTTACTGAAAATTTAATTAAAATCTCAATTGTTCTTCGATTTTCAGCAGCTTCTGCGGCATTAGTAAATCCGATAGATAGCATGAAACAACGTGAGAAAATGCTTGTGGCATTAGAGGAAAGTGAACCAAAATCTCTCTCTACCGAATTAACAGCATCTTGCGATATGGGCAAGGAATTCAATAGTATGGATAATTTTGAAAATAATGCTAAGTTTTTAGCAAAAGTAAGCATTTCAAGTTAACTAAAATTGATATGTTGGATTGAAATTCAAGACTTTTTATCATAAAATTGATGAACTTACTACTGTAATCTATCTTAAACTTTTTTTTTGATTTGAATTGAAATTAATTTTTATAGATGAGATCAGTAAGTGCGGAAAGTGAATTATCAAAGGAAGCATCCATATGTGAAGATGGAATGAAACCATTTAATTTTGATAAATGGAATATGTCCGGTATGCATAATAAATTTCAGTTATTTTGTTTAAAAAAAGATAATGATAATCATTGTGAGGTTTTGTTTTTTGCGACAATAGTTGTCGTTGATATTCAGATGAAGTGAAATGATCTGATACGTGAAATATCCGAGTAATTGTGAATTTTGGCAAATTTTTATGGTTTTGAGAATGTGCCAACATATGTTCTATTTGACAATGATTTCAGCCAAATTTAACATCATTTTATTGTATTTGATTTTCACAATTTATTAAATTTACAGAAAAATTGAAAGAACGCTTTTATTTGGATGATGTGGAACTTAGATTTTTAAGAGAGAATGAATTAGCTAATAGTCAAAAAGTTGTAAAATTGGAGAAGAATTTCAAGAAGAAGCATCAATCTATCTTTGATATACTCAATGCTTCCTTCAAACAAAAGTATTCATTTTATTAATGAGAATAACTTCAATTTGGAAAAAATGATGACATTTTGAAAATTATTTTTTGTGAATTTAAAAGCTAAATATTGTAAAGAAATCTTACATTTATAAAGTAAAATTCATTTTAGGCCAGTGTGTTCTATCTTAAGGAATTTTCATGGAGATGCTTTTGCTATATATGCTAAATATGAGAAGGAGGTCAGCTCTTCTTCAAATGACATATTTTTTGGGTGCAAATCAAATTAAAAGAAAAGGGCCTTAAAACTGGGCATTCTTTATTTTGCTATTTGGAATTTTGGTAATTAATTAAATCAATTAGTTTAGAGAACAGAACTTATTATATCACTGGTGGAACAAAACAGGAAGAAACTTATCAAGCGACTCGATATGGCTTATAAATGGTATATCAATTCAATAATAAAGCAATTTTAAAAGATGAATTAATAAATAAACTATAAATTTTTGAAGTATTTTAAAAATTTTTATTAGCTGATTTAAAAAAGGCCCTTTTACACTTATCAAATTGTGTGAAAGCTGAAAGTTGAAATGTGAATTTGTTAGATGATTCTTTGAATTGAAATCTTCCAATGGAAATGTTTTTTTGAATTAGCATTATTTTAGTGAACAAAAGCAATTGACCAAATTAAATCACCAAAAGCGCTACGCAGAGCAATGGAATGTGGTTCGAACGGATGGGTATGTCATATCTATCGCTTTTCAAATGTAAACAATAGTTAGCTAGTTATCTTTGTGTAAGAGGGACAAACCACTTCTCCCGCATGTTCATTACAGTATCTTTTGAGCACACCAATATCTCTTTACTATTTGTTTGTTTCATCAATGCTAATTTAAACTATAGGACTGTTGCATTAGCATAGTTTTTGCCGAAATATAATAATAAAATGATTGATATAATGAAGATTTTCTTCAAAATTTTTTTGGTATTAAATATTATAATTAGAATTCTTTGTTCGAATTTTCAAAAATTGAATAATGAATAAAATGATAATATCAATTATTTAATGGGAATGATTTTTAGGACAGAAGAATTACGAGGAAAATATGTAAAACTTGGCTTAGAAGAGCAAAGGAGATTAAATAAATCAAAAGAAAGAAGGTTGAAAGAAATTGAAAATAATTTCGAATTGCTAAAACAAGAAATTGGAGTAGGAATGGAGCAGGTAACATATCATTTGTTAAAGTTTAAAATTCAATCGAATACACAAAATTCATTTAAAGTATTGTAACTTACGACAAAGGATAAAAACAAAAAAAATGTCGAATGTTTTTTCTTAAAATTTACCTTCGATATTTGTTTCCATATATTATAATTTCAGAGATTGAGCAAAGCTATCTCTATACTTCGCGATCTATAATTATGATTTAATATTTTCTATTAAATATGTTTTGACATTAATATCTACTTTGTTTTTAACTATTGTTTATATCAATGAACTAACCAATATTACTCGGGTAGTACTAGCCGAATAGTTTTGGCTAGTTCATTCATTACTCTAGTTTAGCAGGAATAAAGAGGGAGAATATTATATATAAGTGAATTTCGTGAGAGTATGCTTACTTTAGTAGTTATTTGATAGTTGATTAAAATAATGAAGTGAAACTGAGGAAAGAAAAATGCTCTAGTGTCAAGTTGGCGGAATAGAGTCAAGTTGATACTTACTAAAATATTTATACATTCCTTTTTTCAAATTACTTTCTCTATACTGTTTGAAAATTAATTTATTAAAGTATTTTATAGTTCAAAGCGAACTAATATAAAAGAAAATCATAAAAAAGCATAAATTTATTTTGCTTCAGCACAATTAAAATCCATTTAACTAAAGGAATTTGGCGCATTGTTATGTCTAAAAATTACAAATAATTTGTAGCAACGAAACATAATGAAACCATTAAGGGTTATTTTTAAATGAGAAATGAAATTTTATGAAATAAATATTCAGAGAAAATTACTTCATAAAATATATTTGAACGCAATTTACAATAATATATAATGCGGAACTTATGAAACCAAAATTCGTCCTTCCAGTTTAAGTATATTAAACCTTATTGAATCTTCTAGCTTTTTTTAAAATTTAAAATTTGAATTACATATTACAATAATATTATTACAACCCGTATATAATATTTTTGATTAAAGGTAAAGGGGATAATTTATTGTGCCCATTTTGAATTTCTAAAATAAATTTGTTAAATCTTTCAGTGTCAATTTTAAAAGACTTCTTAAACTTCTAGTATCTTTACCTAAATTAGAAATAGCAACTAATATACTAATAGTAATTAGTTTAGTTACTAAGCCCATCCATTTGGCATATAGTAATGTGAATTGGAAGGCAAAATAGAACTGGTTGATGTAAAATAATTTCCATTGGGTGTACATGAACCAGAAAGTGTATTTGATGCAGGATAAGTACCGGTAACAAAATCTGCAGGACATGGTTTTCCATCATGTACCAACATTTGCACCGGAATGCGTTTTGATTGTGAGAAATTAACAGTTGGCATTGACATATTACTCTGCGCCAAACAACCATTTAATCCCTTATCCTGACAAGTTTTCTTTGTTTTGTACCTGAAAAATTGAAATGGAAAATTTTTTGGAAATTTTTACAGACTACCTATGAATGCATTTTTCGATTTGAATCTAAAAAAGTGTCAAATTATTTTTGTCAGCAAAAGGATTTAAAGACACTAAATTTAGGATAAATCAGAAAAAAAAGTATTAATTTTAAGTTTATGACTTCTTATTATGAAATGAAATTTAAAATTCACACAGTCACTTCGTTAAAACTTAGAATTTCCACTTTTAAATTGTAATTAATTGATGGATGAAGTTTCATTATTTACCTGTGATTTTGGAACCAAATTTTCACTTGTGTAGGTGTTAAATGGATTTGCGTGGCAAGTTGTTCACGTTCAGGTGCCGAAAGATACCTTTGCGTGCGAAATCTCCTTTCAAGTTCAAAAGTTTGCAATTTCGTGAACAATACCCGTCGTTTGCGCCGTTTCTTTTTACCCTTTTCTCCTACAAAAAAATGAAAAATTGGTAAAATTGATCAGAATAAAAAATTTTTTTGTTCACAATCTATTTTAGATAAGTATTATTATATATGTAAAACACTGGAATTTTTAATTGATCATTTGAATACTGTAAAATTTAAATTGAAATTAATACATCTACCTTCATCTTCATTAAATGTTTCATTTTCGTTGAGAACATCGGTAATATCTTCGCTTGTTCCTTTACTAAAATGTTATGAATTATTTCAATGATATTATGTTATATGAATTTTTAGGATCATTCTTAAAATCTGACAGTATCATTCATTTCAACATTGTTTATATTACCCATTCTATCAAGCGTGATATGCCGTAAACAACTTGAATATGTTGAACGAACCAGTTAAAATCAAATCAAAATTTTTAAAATATGGTTTTTAGTAGGCTAATATGATTCTGAAATACCTGATAACACTGGAATCGTTAATATCCTCCTCATTTTCAGATTTATTATAATGTGACGAAGTAGGCAGTAGCGGTGGCTCTAAATTCTTCCCAACCTGAGCACAACCACCAATTGGTGCATTGATTATCTCAAACCTAAATAATGTAATAAAAACGATTAATTTTAGAATTTCAGAAAATTTTTCAAACTTTACTTTGATTTTCATAACTTCAAAAATAAATTCTTCATTTTTGCAATTTTTTATTTGAATGATAATTGAACTTTAAAAGATTTGGTAACAAACCCAAATGGAGCAGCAGATGATGTAAGATAAGGTTGGTGTGTGTTAAATGCACTCTGATCATAGAATGGATAAGATGTGGTGCACGAAGAGGAATATGATGTATCAAATGCTGGTGAGGCACAATGGTATCCTGAATGTTATTATATATTACGGATCCGATTGTTTTAAGATATCATCAATATCAAATTTATGCACCATATTTAATTTAATTGGAAGGATATTTTATTTAATGTGGAAGTAAGAAAAATTGCGAATTTAAATAATAATAAACTGATAAATTCTACATCGCACTGTGATCTTTGTGATACTAAGAAATTATTATGAAAGAAAATGTAGCCTTTTAAATTGTTGCGCTAATCATGTATCAGCAAATAATTTGAAGTTGAAGAGGGAAAGCTTACCGCCGAGCAATGGTAAATGATCGGTCCAAGATGATGAAGGATAGTTGTGACAGTTACCTACTCCTGTACCATCAAATATATTTGGCTTTAATAATTCATATCTGAAGAAATAGGGTTTTGACGAATTGAAATCAGTATTATCCAACTTGAGAGGAAAAGTGGAAGGCCCAAGAATGATTCAATGCTTATTACAAAAAAAGAAAACCTATGTTTATTAAATCAATTGAACAATGAAGAAAAGAAAATTTATTTTAATAGGTGAAAGGTGCTGGCTGACAAATGATATTGGTTGTAATTTCTCTCTACTACAGATTTTGCATAAAACTAGCAATTATTTTTACAGCTTAAGAAAAAGAAATTGGGAAAGAAATTCACATGAAGGATTTAAATCATTGCTCTTCATATTATTTACTGATATTGTTTAGATTAATCATATTATTATATTGTCATATTAATCATACTTATATCAGTCATATTATATTATCATATTAATCACACTATATTAATCATACTTACATTAATCATATTATTTACATTTCTTTTCTAATAAGGAAAAGCTTTTCTTAGCAAAATCTTTGCATTGACAGAAATTAATTTTCATGCTCTGAATGATAATAAAAGTTAGATGGTTATTCTAAGTTGAAAATAAAAAGTAGTTTAAAATTTATTTTGATTCAAAGTTGAAAGCAACTTCGAATAAAGTAGATTGATTCCGAATTATTTTTTTTATTCTGAATTAATATAAATTTCACATCCCAATAATGCCAGCTGAAAATGAAGCATAAAAAAAGCTAGGAAACTGAAATTTTTAAGTCCATATGCCTTACTATTGCTATAGAGATGATTAAGTGAAAAAGTTGAAAAACTTTTTCAACCTAACATTTCCATGAAAAAGATGAACTCATCATCTATCATCTGGCACTAAGCATTCTCTGATAATGAGATGAGATTAATATACTTTTTTATTTATTTTAATTCTTGAAATTTTCCATTATTTTGTAGAAAATAATTTTTTCTATTCAAGATATGTCCTCTTATTGAAAAAATTTCTTCATTTCATCATTTTTCCAAACTCATTTTGAAACTTATGATTGTATAATATAGTTGAAGCTAAATTTTAATCGAAATTTAATTTTTAAATAAGTTTTATTGAACTAATCTCTTTTTTATACAATTTAATTTTACATTAATTAGAAGAAGTATGGATGATTCAATCATAAGACGATAGAGATTATGAATAATTTCACGATGCTGCCAGCAAATTCTGTATTCATTAGGAAAAATAGTGTAAAATGATGGCAATATAAATTCCAAAATATGGCTCGGCCCAAAACAAATCAGTTACTGACTTATGAGAATATATCTGATTTAAACATATTGAAATGGCAATAATAATTTCCTGTAAAATACATTTCAAAAAAAATGGAGGAACAGCATTTACTCCAAGAATGAATGAAATTAATTTTATTGAGCCTATAATGAGATGATTCATTAATGATTTTTAATTTATTTCTTAGTTCTTGTTAGAAACAACCATTAATCCTTACCAAATAACTTTTCCATTTTATGTCATTCTTCTCTCTCTCTCTCTCTCTCTCTCTTCAGTACTGCTTGCTATCTGATATCACATTATCATCACTATTATACTCCTTTCAGCACTTCATCCACTAGAAAGGAAACAGCATGCCTATCATTAATCCTATCAGATTACTTGAGATATTTCAAATAATTATACCATTTGCAGTTATCATCTTATCCAATTCTTTGAAGATGCATTTTAATGTCTATTTCAATTATTTCATGTAAAATTCATATTCTTTTATTTAGCCAGTTTCCTTATTTCTTTGTGTATCCGTATCAAAAATATTTCAACTTACTTATTGCTGATGAAACTAGCAGTTGTAGGAGTGGCAATAGTAGTACTAGTAGTACCAATAGCAGTTGTAGCTAGAAATTGTGATGTCCTCAATGAATTAGTAGAGTTTGACCCTGATAATCCAGTAATTACTGCTGTTGTTCCAAATGTTGATCCGGAAGTGGTAGCAGCCGCATGAGCGGCTGCAAATGCAGCAGCATTCAACGGGAACATATATTTATTAGGCGAAATTTTTCTGATACTATTTTTGTTGGTTGGGAAAAAAAAAGTGTTGTTAAAAAGTGAAATTTGAAGCAGTATCAGTTGAAGAAATCTCAAGCAAAATAAAGTAAAATAACTTGTTAGCTGATAGGCATACAATAGATTGACTTGTTGGTTTAGTTTAATTTTGTAGAACAATTTAAAGTGGCATATGAATCATTCATCTATGCGAAAAAGTATTGTTTAGCTAATACTTCTCGAGGATACTGAAGAAAATTTTCTACTACCACTCAACATTCTTAGAAACCGATGAAATATAGCAAATGCGGATGAATTTGTTGATGATGATGAGCTCTACGACAGGTAAGTTCAGGTAAGTCAGAATTTTATCCGCCTTCCTCCCCTCCCTCTAACATTTTTATCAACTGTCATTGGATGTTGTCGATACACGGTATTTGTCTCATCTTCTTCATTTACTTCATCTGTTGAAATCTGTCTGTCTGAGATATTTCTTCGTCTCTTTAAGTAAACTTTCAATGGAATGGAAGAGGAGACAGTAAACTGAACGAGACATGAATGATTTATTCAAGTGACATTTTCCCGCTACAACTTTAATCTTTAAACTATGCATTTTCATTCGCATAAATTCTCGAGTTCTAACTTATATTCTCTTAAATTAGTCATAAGAAAAATATAGCACAAAAAAAATGAAATCCAAGAAAAGTTTATCACAGGTATTAACTGAAGTAAGTATTAGGTCAATTCTAATGAAGCCAATGTGACTAAAATCACATAACAAATGAATGGACAGCTTAAATTTCTAAATTTCATTCCAAATTTGCTGCATAGCTTTATGAGACAATAGAAATGATCGGTTATTCTTTGTAGCCCTGGCAAGTTCTAGCAAATTATCAACAGTTCAATTAATTTTATTGCATACTTATATAAAGATATTAAATTAGTTGCTTATTAAATTTTTTAAATATCAGTTAGGGAAAAATTTTTTAAGATATTAAATTTTTTGAATAGACCATCAGTTTGGAACAAATTTCAGAAAATAATTACATACAAACAATTGCAAATTCTTATTTATTATTCAATCATATATTAAAGTTTGATATTTCTAACAAAGATTTAAGACAAGCTAAAAGAAAAGATAGCTAATATTGATCTTTAGACCCTGCATTTCTAGAAATGATGATAGATGAGAAAGATTGTCCTCATTTGATATGATGTATATGCCGCCGTAGTCTTCATCTCGAATAACAGTATTGTGGAAGGTAAACAACGACAGTAGCTAATAGCAATAATGAAGTAGAACTGTAGAACTGTACCTCGAATCTACTCAATCTGTAAACATTTCCCATTCTATCTTTACTTTTACTTTCTATGACAACATTACGAAAGCTGGAAGTTTCAGCTCCGATTTCGCGCATTATGAGGCGATTTTGAACGATTAAATAGCTGTCAAGAATGTGATGCAAGTATTAAAATAGAATGATATTTTGAATTGCGGAAATTCCTTTTTTTTAATACATGTGATATTCTTTCAGTTATAAAAGGCAAATAATATAGAATCAATTTTTATGTTATTTTCAATTAATATTAAAATTGTTGAAACTTATGAAATGAAGATTTTTGCGGATATGGAATAATGATATGAAAAGTTTGATATGATCAACTTTTACTGACAACAAATATATTGCACTTTTTCCTTTTCATTTCGAAATACGATGTTTTGAAATGAGGTAAAAATGCATTGGACATAATATTTGGATAGAATAAATTACCAAATAATTTTATATCAGAAAAAAATCTTCCAAAATAGCATAATATAAATTAAAATTCTACAACTCATTTTAAAACAATTAAAAATGTGAAAGGAATGAAATCATAGAAAATTTTTTGTTTTGTTATTAAAATGCATCATCCATTAGAAGTAATTATAGATCAGTTCACATTAACTGTGAACAATTAAATCTAAAGTAAGAAGAGGCAGAAAAGTTGGATAAATTTGATTTCATTTCAAGAATAACTATGTTCACAATTGGAAAGTTTCACAGTTGAATAATATATATATTTAAGACCAGTTCAATCCATTTTCACATTAGAAACTAATTGCATATTAAATCATATTGAAGGATTTACTATGAGTATCACAAAAATGTCAAATCTTAAAACTTCATTTATCAAATGAAAATAGCGAGAAGTTAGTGTGAGCAGCAGAAATTCATTTTTGCTTAATTTTGCATTTTTAGCTGATTGTGTGAAAGCCATTAACTTCGTGACAATCTAAGCTTATCAGCTTGGATTGTTTCACTAAATTAAATGTAGTTCTCTCTCTCTCTCTCCTGTAATTTCGGCAGATTTAAAATTGACTGAGGAAGTTCTTCTCAAGAAGTTTTCACAATTTTCTTCTGAGTACAAATACAAATCCATTCTAAAATTATTTCGGAAACATAACTAACTATACATATTAAAAAAAAATTAATTAGAAGATTTAAATTTCTGTTACTCGATTTTAATTAATAATCGATAAACGATATCTTTTCATTTTTTCTAATTTATGATTTCCAATTATCAGTTTCAAAAGATTTAGATTTATATTCAGTAGGATTGTATTCCTTTAGATTTGTTTGAAACAACTTATTTTGTCATTACTATCAAATACTTTCAATTATTGTTAATCTTAAAAATTTGACTTTGATTTTCATATGCTAATTAATGTTTAGATAGTTATAAAGTGGAAGCTCTTTCCAATATTATTTTCTAATAAATCAATCAAACTAGAAATATTCTCTTTTTTTTCTTTATTATCTTTTGGAGTTTTAGAAAATAACAATAAAAGAAAGCTTCTCGGCTTGCAACAAAGATTTGGTTATTTCAAATAATCAGATTAGAGAAATTTCTTAAAATCTTCTTTTGGTTGTCAATTAAAAATTTTCATTTTATTTGCTATGTTACTATTGTTAACTAGCAAAGCATGTTATTAATATCATTATCATATCTTGGTTTACTATCTGAACCAATAAATAGCAACATACAATATACATTATCATATCTTGGTTTACTATCTGAACCAATAAATAGCAACACAAATCCTATCATATCACTATTATTTTCATGCATGATATATGAATAATCATGATAACACTCTCACTATATAATTTAATATTAGTAATATTTTGAGGTTCGAGAAAATTCATTTATGATTGATATTTAAACTTGAAATTAATAAGTTTTTAATCAGATGCTACAAACAGAGCAGAACTTTCTCACTAAAATAATGTCGTAGCATATTTTTCGGTTCTAATTCACGGGTAAACAATAAAGAGGATAGTAACTGCATAGACCATGCAAGCAGGAAAAGTCAATATTACAAGTATGATATCAGTCCGGGACCGAGAAATATATTTCTCCAATTTTTTGTATATTTAAGTTATATTGCAAGGCAGTATTTAAATTTAAGAGCATAATTTTCAAGTTGTCATATTTTGTAGGAACACACAAAATTAATAAAATACAGTAGTCCCCGGCTCGCACACATACAATGATAATTTTGCTTATATCATTTCGATTTCACTCCTAATCACGCACTAATCCAACTTCATTAAACAAATTTTTTTTTAAGACTTATAATGTGAAACTGGAAATATATGCAACTTTAAATTTGATGTTTTTGAATGGAATAGAGAAGAAAAAATTTTTCAATGAACAAAAATAGCAAAAAGAGTAAATTTTCATATGCAAACTAAATTTAACAAACAAATTTAGATAAAATTCTCAATATTAAATCTTATAATCTAATTTGATATAAGTTTCAATGTTTACTCGTAGCAAAATCGTGGCAAAGGTGGAAAAGGTATCACTGCTCGTCGACGCCTTTTACCTGGAAAGGCTGCAGGATTCCACGGAAATTCATTGTGTTGCGGATTTCTAGGATCCCATGGAAAACTCTAAAAAATAATTTCTTTGCTAAATATTTCATTTATATATACGAAAACATTTCCAATTTTAGTAATGATTTCTACTGAAATTTTAAAAAGTTTTCCAAAATTTAATTCGAATTTCGAGAGAAAACATAAATTAAAACATTAGAAGAAACCTTTCATTTCTTTTCATGAATATAGAAAAATCATAGTATTTTTGTAATAAATCAAGTACATACCAATTGTATATGATCGGCAAGACTTGCAGACCACTTTGCAACATCTTGTTTGTATTGATTCAAATTTGAATAATCTTTTGCTTGCATTTTACGTTTATATCTGCCATTTACATATATTCTACCGTTCTATAAAGCATTCCATAAATCTTGCTCGATTCTTTAATACTATACCTTACAGAAAAGTTTAAACGATGAAATTCGTTAGATTCACATCCATTTCGTAAACAAATCATATCACAGGTTATATTCCAAATTTACGATTAATCTTATTTATTGTAATATTTCGCTTAAATCGTAACATCGAAATTATCGTATTGAAAGTTTAGTTAATTTTGACAGTATTATTGAATTATTTATTCTATACAGCACCTATAGAATAAATAGTTCAATAATATTATCACGTACAGTAAGTAGTACAGAAAAATTATATCCAACAAATTGCTTTCTTTGCAACTTTCCAATGTAATACAATGGTGTTACGTCACATTAATTAAAAATTTACTAGTAATCGCAAATCCCCATTTTGTAAAGAAATAATATATTTTCCTCCAGTATAAAGGAAAAGGAAATTGAAATAAAACAAGCTATTTCATTTAACTTACCTTTACCACGCAATATATGCCGTTTTGAATAGCACTCAGTTCATTGTCAACTCTAAATGAACGTACGGTATTGGCGCTTTTATTGCGAAAACCGCTACCAACATCGGAATTGCCAGAAATAATCTGTCCTTTACTAGGTTCCCAAAGAATGATTAATTGTACTGTGATGCTGTAAGAAATTGAGTATAAAACTTGAAGATTGAATGCTATGAAGAATGTGATGCGTTGCTTACAACATTTAGCTACAAACACTTTGGGATGTAATATTCACTTTTATCTTTGTATCTTCCTATAATTCACTTATAACTTTCATACATTTTGGACATTATTGAATTAATGATATGAGAATGATTCTGTGAGGACTCGATTCCTTCAAGTATTTGTTAAAATCATCATTAATAGTATCACCTATGAATCTCAATCTGTGATATAGTAATATCTATGAATCTTAATCTATAGATACAGATAATCCATGAATCTCAATCTGCAGACTCATTGTATCTGGAAACACCAAATGCGGATGTCTTCGACAGAACAAAAATTTCTCCCAGCTTTATTCGTAATTCTAAAATTATTGCAGAGTTGTAAAATGAGTTCAGAGTGAGTAATGAATCTAAAATAATTTGGCCCAATGTGGGTGGGTATCTCGAAGTAATGATTTCATCAATGATATTCGGATAAGCTATATGAAAGATGGGGACAATCTTACAAATAAGATAAAGATAATCTCATCGAACAATTCATCACTTCCTTACTAACCACTAATCGCAATGTAACGAAAAAACTCTTACAGAAGTTGAAGTTTGATTCGCATCGCAGAAAGTTATTTGTTTGCTCTGAATTCTGCAATAAAATTACAATGAATTATTGACAATAAGTAGCGCAAACATCGAAAAAAACGAAATGAAAAAGTCCTAACCACAATAATCATTGATATTACTACCAGTTGAAATCATGAATTTATTTTTATTTTTTGGAGTAATGAGGGAATTCCTTAGAAACCTTTTATGAACTACTGGAATGCATGAATTGCATGTTTGCTTATTCTTTCAATGTTTTATTCCCGTATCATTGATAAAATTATGATTTTCATTTGTCGTATGAGATCTCTTTTTAGATCATAATCTTTAGCATATTTTGTTTAGTCGATAAGTTAGCAAACTTTAACTTCGAAATCTTATTTTTCATTTTTTACAGATATTGGGTTTATTTCAAAAATTTGGTTATCTGAACTCTTATAATACTTTAAGAATTTACCCAATTGAAACGATGCAAATTTATTCTTAAATCAATCTACAAGAAAGCTTCTTATTTAATAAAGCTATATTCCGGATTAGATAAAGTAACTGCCTATTCCGGTATGTTGACATTTCAAGTAATGTCATAAAAAATTAAAATGCGAACGGAAAAATAACAAGAAAGGAATGACACTACGCTGAAATGAACATTACTGTCAAATAAATGACATATCGGATGAAATAAAAGAAAAACAAATATTGATTGCAATCTGAAATACTCGTTTTTTTTCGCTGAAAAAAGTGTATCTCAAAATTTTTTCATTTTCAACTCATTCCTTTCCTAATTTTTACTATTATCAATTCATTGTTTTTCTTCATCTTAGGTATTTTTTGTTGCACAAATGAAATCTGTCAATTAAAATCACATCCAAAATTTCATATTTCATCAGTTTCTAACGGATCTTCATCCCTCTCCACACTTCAATAATGCAATTTATTATCTCTCTCACTATAAGTATCTTTTATTGTTGTTGCCTTATCTCTCAACAATTTTGAAATAAAAATTCAGGTGAAAAAGAGATTTTGCGAAATTTGCAATATTTAGTGAAATCTTTCTAAAAGCTAGTAAATATTCTAATATATTTTGCTGATGCAATTGTCATATCAATTATATACTACCAATTATATATTATACAATTTCATATCAATTATATATTAAATTATTAGATTAATACAAAAACACGGCGTTTGAGAAAAATAAATAAATAAACATCACTGACGTATGGGAATGAATAGCGGCGTAGCGGGGCGTTATTAAATGATGTTAGTATGGTTGTTGGGACTTAACAATCATAAATGAGGGTTTTGGTTGGTATGTTGGACAGTGGTTTGCAGTTGAAGACATCTTGAGATTAGCGATAGGTGCTCAGTAAACATTAACTGAAAAAGGTCATTTAAAAATCTCTGCTAATTGTAACAAAATCAGAATAGTGCATGTTACATCTATTCTTTTACTTTGTATTAATGTGGCGAAATTAACTATTCAACAAGGTTTATTATAGTAAATATACTGGTACATTCCCACTATCGTCATATTCATTTCAAGCTTAATGGATATCCCGAGAAATCTGAGTTGTGTATAGCTATAGATAATTAAGCAGAGCTACTGGTTTGCAAATAATGACATCTAATGATTGCGAGGAGAATGCTGAAATTGATGAATATCAGAGAGATGCCGAATCGGTGGTCAACGTAGCAGGATATTTTAGCCATGTGGACGAATGTCATGTTTTAACTGAGCAGGTGTTTTCTGTAAACCTTCTTATTTAAAATAAATGTGTGAATTAAATATGAAAGTTTTATTTTTGCGCAGTTTTTAGCTGAATTATTTGACGGAATTAGTCAGTAAATTACTAGAAAAATAAGTGCTACAGGTTTCGATGACATACTCATCTGGTACGTCAAAAACAAAACTAACGTGTTTCGATGTTGGCCATAATTATATCGTATTTGGGAGTAGCTGTGGTACTTTGTTCCCTTTCAATCGTCGATTAAATCGCAGCGCTACCCCGTACAGTTTTCTATTCTACTTAATACATTGCTAATATACAAAACCATGGTACATTATATGAAACATTGTATTAAAAATACTTGAAATGCAGTTAATGGAGATCTAGTACAAATTGTATAATACTCGTAGTATTCGCGAATTTTGTTGAGGAGTTATGAAAATTTTGAGTGACCGTCTTCATGTTTGAATATTCGGGCTTTTTTGAATTTTCGCTATGTCACTGCTAGGCAGACATAGTTGGTGCTTCGTTATCAAAACTGTTAAAAAAAATTTGTTATAAGAAAACTTTTACAATAGAATATTCCCCCTCTAACATTTTTTCTTGCAAAAACTTCTAAATTTCAGCTTACGAACAAATACCGACGATCTCATTACATGTGTAAAACTTTCCTCAGGAGAATATGATTTGCTCGCCGCAGGGTATAATTCTGGGGGTCTTGCAATACTGAATTTCCCAACCGGGAAGCCCGGTTCGATCAGAAAAGTTCCTTTTTTTATTAGAAGTGAAATTTCATTATGGATTTAATGATACTGATTTTCTCGCAGGAATTGAAATGTTATACTTTCCTGCATAATTTCAGTTTATATTTATGTGCCCCACTTCACATCATCTACAAATTGTTAACTACTACTCTCTATTATCTTATTTTTAAGAATTTGTTGTAGTTTTTCAAAGTCTTAATTTGCAGTTGGAGCAAACTTTGTCATTTGATGGTCATAAAGGGCATGCGATCAGTTGTATTGCATGGGCAGAAGATGGAAAAAAAGTGTTTTCTGCCGATGATGCTGGCGTAGTGGTCGTCACTTCAGTCGATTTTATTCATGTTAGTAAAATCGCAATTTTTTTGAGAGTTTTTGCCAGTTTATATTCATACGACATGTTTTTTTAGCTATCTGTTTATTGCATGGCATTCCAGTCTTTCTCGATAGCAATCAGTCTTTTTAGAGCTTTAAAATGTCAAGAATTGTTTCAGCTTTAGAAATTTGCAGAATGTCTTTCAAACAACATTTATCAGCCTCGAACATTCCTGTGTGATGCAGTTAACTCATGCCTGCAACCTCTTAGCTCTCTGCACTATCAGAAGAGTGGCTATTATTGATGAAAAATTTTTTGATTCTGTGTTGGAAATCGATCAAGATCAACAGAAGTATTTTTTTTACTCATCTTTAGGGTATAAGGCAGAAAAAAGAATGTTTTTTATTAGTTGCTTGTGAAAAATTTAAAAATATAAAGTACTTTAAAATTGAAGAAATTAGTTTTTGAAGATTTGCAGAGTTATCGGCATACATGTTATGGTTGCTAAATCTTGTGAAGCGGAATTATTTGTTCTTCAATCAGATGGTTTCATAATTATTTATGATATTTTCCATGGTGAGAAAAAAGGAAGTTTCAGTGTATCAAAGAACGTAAGTATTCAGATTTAAACTAATGCTGATCTTCATAGCCTTCTTCAGTACACTGATTTCAAGTTCTCGTAGTGAACATATTTCAATATTTTGCATAAATGTAACATAACTTACTTATTTTTAGATAATGGCGGAGATGACCACAACAGATTTTTCAACTGCTAACAGGTTGTCTTTTCATTTTTAGCTGTTTTAATTGATGTTTTAAAAGTGGTTCGATTTTTTTTCATATTTCAGAAAAATAATAAAAATTCAATACAAGTTTGATTCACTGGGAAAAATGTGATAGTTTTTGAAACTTCAGTGAATTTCCAGGTTACAGCAATGGAGATCGTGCGTGTTAGCGGTGCATTCGCAAATTTTTATAGTTTATTTCTACAATTACATTGTTTTATTGGATTTTAAGGATAAGTCTACAATGTTATCATCATTTGATGTTGATTCTCTTTTCCACGATAAAACGTTTGAAGTAAGCTGTTCGAAATTTCTGAAACTTCTGTACCATAAAAAAATCCTTGTTCATTGTTTAGAATTTCTGTTTTTCAGATATTTGTTTGTGTTGATCCAAAGTTTTCATGTCTTACCATTTATGTCCTTGGTCCAGATAATCGTGTTTTTCGTCTCTCGTCGAACGAAGTTCCTTCGTATCTAACAGAAAGCCGCGGTTAGTTCATTTTTTAAATTGTAATATATTTCCTCGGAAACAAATGGATTAAGATTTTTGTGTATAAGAATGCTACGCACTTTGATTTGATTTGCTTTGTTGTTACTTAGCCTGCTTCTTTTAGTTGTAACACTTGTCTAAACTATTGTCTTTTTTGTGCATACAAAAAAGTTTAACATTTCGAAATATGGAAGTGTCCATGAATGTTGCATAGGAACTTGAAGAACACTTTTTTGTATCTTATTGATTTTTTAAGTTCACAATAGTCTAATTATTCTAGAAATACCTATGGAATTCACTTCAAGAAATTTCTTAACCTCTTTCCAAAAAGCCACTAAATTACTGCCGAATGCTTCGAAAGATGTATTTTTGGATGGCTTAAAAGTGGCAAAGGAGATGAATATCTTTTCTACGCTACGTAATTTCTCCCTTCCAGCTTTGAATAGTGTGCCTGATCTGAATTTCATTCTCCAGGATAACAGGTAGTGGTTTTATTGAATTATGAAATGTTTTATTTGATAACTGTGTAGAAATGATTACTGCTTTCGAACTTATAAAGCTTGGCAATGATTATTTCAGCCATAATTCTCTTTGTGATCGGTCTTCGGATACCAATTCAGATGGTAATAAGTCGAATATCGTAGTGCATCAGGACAAGAATAATATTTCGAAGCATTTTGGTAAATTGTTTTATGATATTGTTTTCTGTGTAGAACTGTTGGGATTTTACATTAGTGGAATATTATTTATCATTTTAATACCAATAAGCTTTTTAGAGCAGATGCAAATACAACGGAATAATATTATAAAAAATGTCAACAGTGTGGCACGAACATTAGTTGATACAGTGGGTAGCTTTGGTACACAGGTCATGTTACTTAATTTTGGTTGTTTAAAAGATTTCTTTGAGTTTGTCGCTTGTTTTGAAATTTGAAAATTAAAATGCTACACAGTCCTTCGGAATATCACAGTTTAGGTCGAAGACGGCTTTCTAGTACAGCCCATATATGACACTGATACTGTGGACGTAGAAGAAACACTGTTTCCAGTTGAACAAGCTGGCATTCTTCAAGAAATTATGGTACGTAGGACAAAGACAGCTCCTGCAAGTAAGCGGAAGAAAACTAAAAAAGTGAATGATATCGATAGACATAGTTCATTGGATTCATCTAAGGAGGATCTGATCCCTGTTGATGAGCATATGTTGAAAAATATTAAAGGAGGTGTGTAGACTTTTTAATAGTTTCGAAATGAACTGTAGTATGTATGTATTTCAGAGCTTAGGATATTCTCAATCCTATTTTTCCTCTTTTTCTGACGGATAAAAATCCTCTTTTTCCATTTGAATTGGTGAGGTAAAAGATTGTTGAAACATTTCTAAGATATAAGACTAACGAAATGAACATATCTAAACTATAAAGACTATTTAGCTTGTTTGAAGAGATTGGAATCATGCATTAAAGGAATCATGTGAAATTTTTGCAGCACTTACAATTCCTTTACAAAGTGGCAAAGTGGATTCCCAGCCTCAGAGTGATTTCCATGATGATAATATTGAACAGATAGCTGGCTTCAGCGAAGAGAGTCAAGAAGTCAATAAGAAATTGTTTATATCTTTATTCTTCACTTTTTGCAATTAGTTACTTAAATAATCTTACCATCGAAAATCCGAAAATTTCGAATTGCAGGTGCCTTTGAATGGTGAACTGAATGATGTTGATGATATGAAAAGTGAAGACCATGATCCAGTAACAGGCACTTTAATCCCTTATTTATTAGAACTGTTGGTTAAATGAACAGATTTTTATGGAATGAATTAAGGTTCATTCGCCGATCTAGCTTGTTTCGTTTTCTTTCGTGTACCCTAAAAATTTTGGAGTGGCAAGAATTAGAGCTGGAAAAAAGTAAAAACAAACCTTTTTACTATTGTAATAGTTTTCGGTTCTAAATATTAAAAATTTTAAAGAGACGCTTGAATCCACTTTTAAATTTCTGTTCAAAATTTTTAAGGCATATATATTTCAATTATATTTTAAGTGTTCGAATGTTTATCCTAGTACGCTTAAGCCGGGTTGAAACAATCATTTTAGAACAACCCTCGACAGAAAATATAACAAATTCGTCAGTGCAGGAAATACCGGGAGAAGGAAACGCTTATGAATTTTTAATGAAGGACGCGCTAGAGAGAAAACCTTCTGTTTTTGAGGTAATTTTATTAGTGCTAACGTGATCAAAATACCAATATTTAGTTTTTTTGTGATAATGCGACATCAATAATTACAAAATATTGTATTGTAGGGACCAACAACCAGTACCATATGTTGCCCGAATGATGAACAGCTGATCAAAGACATTGTTGTCATGAATAACTTCAGTGATATTTGGAGCGAGGTTTGAGATTTTAATAATGTTTCATATTCAATTTTTAGATATATATTAGTAATAATGGCTTATGTTTCGGTATATATATTTAGTGTCATAAATAGTAATTAGATAACTGAGCAATAGCTGACTTTTAAAGACTGTTGTGTGATTCCTGATTGTTTGATCCCCGAAACGTAATTTTCATCTCGTTACTATTGTTAGAATAATTGTGACAGTGCAGTAGCTAAGTTTGTGATAATACCTATCAAAAAATGGGATCAAGGAAATTCAAGAACTGTCCAAAAAAGAAGGAAAGGGCTTTAAAAGTTTTAAATGTGTAGAGACGAGGGTTAAAAAAGTCTTTTATTTCGCAGTACAATATCATTATACTGTCTATTGAATTTAATATCGTTCAAGAAAAAGATTTTCAGCATATACTTTTCATTAGACGATATCAAATTCATCTAGATGCTGTTATAAGCTTCTTTCTTAGTATCAGTTTCAGATATACTATAAAGATAAAGTTACTATTCAGATAAAGTTACCATATTCCTGTTCATCTTTTTCTGTTTCGTCTCGATATCTCATTATTTGTCATTCAAAAAGGAAGAGAAGACCTTGTTACTTACCCATTCCATATTGCGGCACCCCACAGTGGATCAAATTGAAGCAAAAGGCTGATCATTTTGTTGTTAATGGTTTGTTTTTTTTTTTTTGGAATATGTCTGAACTCCGTAGGTGGTGTTTTATTCAAAATTGATCCATCTTAGAAGAATTGATTTCTTCTGAATTTTCCTTTTTATAACGCGTGGGGTTTATTTTTTGTACGACGATTTCTAACATCTTTCCAAAATTATTTTCATTTTATTTTATAATGGAAGCTCTTTTTTGCAGGGTTTTGTTTATTGGAAAATTTTATTTATTATTTTGCTCTATGTTAGACCTTTAGGACTTAACATTTCTTGATTTTGCCATGTTTCGAGTAAATTTATGTAAATTTAAGCTTAATTTATTATCCTTATTTCTGATATGTGAATATTTTAATTTGGAAGAACCAAGTGGCTATTAATCGCCGCAAGCATTCCAAGTTCCCTGAGTATATTTAATATTGTTGATATAATTAAATTTCAAAATTTATGTAGATAATGGCGTCTTGGTTTGGAAAATTCTTAAAAATGTCGCATTTGCACCTGTGGAAAGTAACAATGTATCTGGTTCGTTTTTAACAACTTCACACTGGATTGTCGTTGCTGATGAAGGTGGTGGTGTTATTGAAGTCACTTTAACTAGTCGTTCAGCTTGGTATATAACAAAGTCAGGGGAGGTATATTTATTTTTCATTCTGCATTTCAGATAATTTAGTGCAGAAATTAATAATGTGAAAATGTAGAATGTGTGCTTCAATGGTTCTTCATGTGAAATTATAAACATGTTTTACTAATAATTTACAGATCAATTGATCATTCGTATAGTTATTGAGATTTAGTCAGTTTTGCAATATTTTAACAGCTTGCAATATAAATTGCAGGTTTTTGTGCAGCTGTGTTTGCCGGAAATGGGAATTCTCAGTAGATGTGAAACGTCATGGCCATTGCATTCTATTACTGCAAGTGAAGTGGCAGTTTGGGCGCTACAAGTTGAGTCAGGTCGTCTTGTAGTGCGCACTGGACTAAAATATAGTCCAGTTGGATTGGATTGGGTTGAAGTTGTGTATGTTTTTGCATAACTCTAAATTTTCATCGTTACTTTCTGAAGTGAAAATTGAACTGTTTGAAATGGTTTCTCCCTTTCAAATCTTGATTTTTTGATTCTATTGCTTCTAGTCTCATCTAAAGAACAGTTTTATAGGCCTCATGGTCCTGTACGTTTGATTAGTATTTGTTTATATGGCCAGAGCGGTTGGGCAATTGATGAAAAGCGTTCATTGTGGTTTACAATTGGTGTGGGATATGAAAGCCCATTTGGTTGCACAGGAAGCTGGATGAAAGTATTTCTTATTCTTTTCTGGCTTATTTATGTGAATGGTGAAGGAAAATAAATTGCTCCATTCTTCTAAAATTTAACACTTTCTAAAATTTAGCAAATTCCATAATTTAAAATTCGATATTGTTTTATGTCATTGTTAACTAGTAATTGATTTCATTGTTATTGCTTGTAAAAGAAAATTTTTGTTTAAGTACGGACTTTTATTTGAGGTTTATAATCCGTGGGATGTTTCACCGGATATTAATCGGTTGTTGGCTCTGCCATGGGTTATTCGCGTCTCTTCGGCCGGAGTTTTTGTATGTATCGATCATAAATGTTATTGGTCCTCTAGCACTGGCGTTCTTTCTGGGCATCGTCTGGAACACCTTGTGCGCGACAAGCTCTCAGTGGCTAACAATTTTGAATTAATAGCAGGTGGAGGTTTGAAAGAAGATTTTGGTGAGTATTTCCAGCTGCTGTCGAAACCTGTTTTAGCGTATTTATTCATTAAAACCGCAAAATCTATTTTGCGATCTACTACTGCATAAGTCTTTGTATAGCTTGATAAGCTAAGCACCATTTCATCCTTTCACTGTTATGTACTTTTCATAGTATTGGCAAATTTTCTATGCTCATGAAGACAGTAAAGCATTGACAGGAAAGCTAGTGCATTATAAATCAAAGGTCAATGTATCATAATGTCTTGTTGCAGATTGTTTAACATTATGTCGAATTAACGAAATATTTCTTTATCGATTGAAAAATAACTATTTCTATTCTTTACCAGCCTTTCCAGCATCATTCAGTTCAAACGTAATGCATTTCGTACCGAGAACTTTTTATTAATTGAAGTGTTTTGACACGAACTGCATATGTTCTCTTAAGAGATGCATATATTGTTTCATATTCTTCATATTCTTTATTTCATAGTCATATTCTTTATTTCATCAATTACTGTTTTTCAATGTAAAGTCTTTCAGATAATTGAAATATCATCTTTTGACGAGAGCGTATATGTGTTGGATAGTTCCGGTTGTATATACGTGAAGGAAAATATAAGTACTGTTTCTCCATTTGGTGTTGACTGGAAAATCTTAGACACAGGCCCTTGCGGTCAGCTTTTCTTTATTTTCATAGTTTTTATGTATCCAATTTACTTTAATGTTACTTTTCTTGGAGGTCTGGAGTAAATATTCCTATAATTACTGTTTCAGGTTCACCAATAATATCATTTACGGTTACATCCCTTTCATTGTGGGTAGTTACGGCAGCTAGCGAGGCTTGTTTATACGTAAGAAATGAGAGGAAGGAACCACTAGTTGGTACAAACCCTACATGGATTCATGTGAAGGCTTTAGCTGCTTGTGTATTCGATAAGGTCAGGAAATTACATATAAATTGTTAGGATAATCTATTTAATTTTCAATACTGATTTATCTTTGATTCGTGTCGATTTTATTGAGAAGTTATTCGTCTATTTCAGCTGTAATTATTCGTTTATAATTTTCCATTAATTTGGCGCTTAACATAATAGTTTTTTTAGATTCGTGCATCCTCTAATGGAGTTTACGTATGGGTCTTTTCAAAGGAGAGTGGGCGTGCATGGGCTCGTAATTCTATTACGGAAGCGCTTCCGTCTGGAAAGTCATGGACGGAGGTTAATGGTTGTCTAAAATTTTGAGCAAGTTTGAAACAAACAATGTTTGTCAAAATTTCATGAAGACAGTTTCAGGCAAGTGATGAGTTTGGTGTTCATGATTTGGCGGTGGGATGTAAAATAATCTGGTCTCTTTCCGCTTCTGGACAGCTTCATAGGCTTCAAGGTCTTGCTATCGGTAATCCAACTGGAAATTATTGGAAAGCAGTTCCACTTTATTTGAAAACGATAACTCTTGATAGGAAAGAACGGTTATGGGGCATCGATTTTAACAAGCGATTGGTTTCTCATAAGTTAAGTTTTCATCTTTTTATGCTCGGCCTTAATCAAATTCTACCTTTTCTTCAGTAATTTTTTCCTTTCAATTTTTTAATTTTGAAAATCAATCGTTGATTTAGGTTTTCTGATGTTGAATAATTTTAGGCTGAACTATATCCTCCTGTCAGCAGTCGTCAGTTGATGGTCTGATGAAGCCCAATTCATAATAATCACGAGCCTTATATTGAAACTTAGTATATCCCTCTGATATTATTGTACAGTTTGAGTACCTATTTTTTCCTTCACTTGTTTTACAAGATTACTCATCAATCTATTCTCATTCAAGAATTCTGAAATCTCGTGAAATTTCGTATTTTTATTGTTCGCGGATATATTTCTCTTCTTTTTTGTTTTTATTCTTGATGATCTTGTATTGCTCTTTTGTGGTGACTGTTGCCATGATTACTCCCAGTAATCAAGATGTTCAATACTATGGGTCTATTTGCTTCAGTTCCAAAAAAACTTTCTTTTTCACTTTTTTCAAACTTTCGTTCCTTTAAAGCCATGAAAGTCATGCTCTTCATTAAATTTCATTTTTCTGTGATTTTTATATATTCTTCAATTCTGCTTTATGGTAATGATGATTGATATAAATATCGCGTGTTCTTTGCAGTCCTAAATTACATAATCGGTAGTTATTTGGTATATAAAAGAATGAAAAGTTGCCGATGTGAATTTTTTGAAATTGAAAGAGATGTGATTAATAAATTTGAAAAAAATATTGATTTTTAAGCAAGTAGTTGGGTTCGTCACTGCCCAATAACATCGGTACAAATTAATTATTGTATGCCTTTCGTAATACATTACAATGAAAGAATTACAAGTTCTGGAAAGCAGTGAATCGAACAAGACCTCTTCTTGCACATTAATCCTTAATTTCCAACTTGTTTGCTGAGAAACAAATACTGCCGAAGAGAGTGAGTCAAAGATAGGAAGTGTATTGTGTCCTAAGTTGCTAAGTAAGTAAACATTGTTTGGAAGAAATTGACGTTTCCAGTATTTTACCGGAATAGGAAGTGATATAATGCTCGTCGTATCATGATTTTGAGGTTGTAGTGTTGACTTTTGAATTTATTTGCTGGGAATATACAACGTATGACGCAATACACAATTCTGGGACGTCATATTAAGTCCAGTCTGCTTCGTGGTTTTATCCGCTAGTTTTGCTTTCTTGCAGAATTCTTTATTTAATCTTTCTTATCTTTATCTTCGCGCTATTCTATCGAAGCATTTGTTTTTCCCAGATTTATTTATTCTTTTCCATCGTATTTTTAGAATTTTTAGATCCCCACTTGATCACCTGCAATGCATAGTTGATCTATAAAATTAAAAAATGATAATTTACCATCGCTAAAAGGTAAACTTTTCGTCATAAATGTTTCTAAATATATGATTGTGGAGGAAAATTGAAGAATGGCAAGTGGCGAAAGTTTTTGTTTGTTAAATGGTCATTTTCAATTTATCTTAAATTTTGCAAACTATGATAAATTTATATGATCGGATCAAATGTAACGGAATTTTTCGCTAGGTGATCAAATTTTTGCAAAATTGCTCGAGATGGAGTTAATAGATAAACATATTTACAAAAAGGGGCCACTAGCTACCAGTACTTATTATCCTATTGTTGAAAATAAAACTTATTATTGAAGAAAGAGAGGGAGAGAAGGAGATAAGGTGACAGGTAAGTAAGCATTGTGCATTGCCGCAACTTTTAATAGTTTACTTTTCCATCATTTCACTTTCTCAATACACGATTTTGTAGGTTGATATGGGATTGACAAACCTGTAGTACTCATTTCCAGAATCATTGGAATATTTCATGAGTGTCGCCTCTCTGTTGCTTGCTGATAGTAAATATAATGTTTACACAAAAATTTTGTTTGATTTAGCCATTGATAATAAATAGCTTTAGCAGCAATCTGCTCTATCTACATTTCACCGAAGGTGACAGATAGGAACAAATTGACTCAGAAGTTCTGCATCGTATCCCTTTATTGCTTGTTTAGTTGAATAGAAATTTCGATTTATACAAGACTGAATAACAATAATAATAATAATAATAATAATAATAATAATAATGATAATAATTATTATTATTAATAGTTAGTAGTTAATTAATAATTGATAATTAATAATAATAGAATATAAAGATGATTTAGGAATTTATGGAACTTTAATTTCGGGATTTGAATTTGCATTTTTATAACAAAATTGAATAATAATAGTGATAGCAATAATAGTAACAGCAAAATAATAATAATAACAGTGATAATAAGAATAATGAAATAATAATAATAATGATAATAATAATAGTGATAATAAGAATAATGAAATAATAATAATAATGAATAATAATAATAATAAGCCGATTTGAAGACTTTAAAAATTTTAATTTTTTTATATCAACCATTCTTCGCCTTTTTAACACAAAAATAAGCCTAACTATTACTCTAACAATCAAGTTATCATATATTATTATTATTGAATTTAATCACAATTTCAGGAAAATTATTCAGATAAAAGGGGAAAAAATAAACTTAATAAACATTCCCCTTTATCATTTGTCATCTCTCTCTCCCTCTCTTTCTCTCTCTCTCTCTCTTCCTCTTTCTAACAGTATTATGCTGCAATGCTTCAATGTGTTCGTTAAAAATCTCTATACATTGAATATTATTACTTTATACTATATTGAAGAAGAAGGTGGAAGAATTTATACGTTGTTTACTAAGCACTTCATTCTGTATTACTCTGTTCCTCTTCCTTTCAGCTGGAAAATATGCCACCCACTTCATTCTTTTTCTCCATATTTTTAGAATAATATTTATTTTCAGGTAACAAATTTACAATATTAAAGAGCACTTTTACTGTTTTTTCAACATATCGGATCAAATCGTTAAAAGTATAAATGAATCGATGGGAAACTTATCAGAATAGCCCCACTGTTGCTTTGTAAGTTTTCATGAATTTTTGTATATTTTTTAGATTTTCATTTAGATATCATTTTAATTCAATTGCGTACGCTTCTATGGCGGCATAATACTTAAATGTCATAAGAGCTTTAAGATATGCGAGTAAAGTTAATACTTAGTTTTATTACTGATAATTTATCGTAATAGTGCAATCGTTATCCTTGCTTTCAGGAAAGTTTCAGAAAGTTTATTTAGCTTATTAAGCTTATTACGAATAGTTCGTTGATTGATTAAGTTTATTTTTGACTCTCATAATATGGAAATTATAGGCAAAATGAAGTGGTAATGCAGGGCAGTAAGGAGCTTATTAACCGTGAAGTATTTCAGCATGCTACTGTTGGTAACTTCTTGGGATCCAGCATTGAAGGTGCCTCTTTACTATTTAAAAACTTTTCTACTTCATTGTTTGAATGCAAAATTTTGCGCAAATATTTAAATAATTTCAGGTTCAGGTTCCGGTTTTATACGCTGTGTGTATACAGCAAAGAATGCAGTAAATGCAACCGTCACATTATTGTAAGATTTTCAACTCTACGTCCATTAATATTAAAGCAACAATATGTTATCATTTATATCTTTTCTATCTAGAATTAAATTAATTTCTTATAGAAAAATCTAACTAAAAATTGTTATCTACTCTATTCAGAAATTTTAGCTTAAAATAAACTTTTGAAATCAATTAGAAAATGGAATACTGCAATGAAAATTTCATAAGATACTTAACAGTTATCAATCTGATAATGTTGTAGATGTGACATCGAAACCGGTTGTTGTGAGAGAGGTTGCTGTCCACAAGATCTTTTCTGGTTTGCTTTTTCTTTCTTTTAACATATTAACTCAAATTCTGCAAAAGTTTAAGAAATATTTAATGCAATGATAAAATTTCTTTTTTTCAGAACGTATATATATACAATTATAAATCAAATTTTTATCTGTCATATTTTTTAAATTCAATCATTACTTTATGTATTTGTTTTTCATTAGTATTTAATTTTGGCATTTGTATTGATAAATTTATTTCAGGATGGCTGGAGTATTTGTTCTACTAGTTTTTGTGCTTTTGGTATTTGTTATTGGCTCGTTCATTATAATTTGTTGCTATTGGCGAACGAAAAAGGAGCAACGTAGAGAAGCATACGAATATAGCATTTATGGCTCACAGGTATACGAATTGTAATGACTTTTTGAAATAATTTAAATTTTTAAAAATTTTAATTTTTTTAAATCTATAATTTAAATGCATTCCAGGTTGATATGTATCCGGATGGATACAATTCTTATACAAATCAACCTATGTATCAAAGGCACTAACAGCATACCTGTTTTCATTTAAAGATATATCTGGAATTGTGTAAAAAGAAAATGTTATGTTATGGATCATTTTTTCTGGATTATAATCATATTTTCTTATGCGATCATCTAATCAAAGCTGACCTGTTTAAAACAAAATGAATCATTCCACTCTTGTTGAAACTAATCAATATATCTAATTTTTGATCTTACAAAAATTTAATAAACTTTATAATGGATCGAAGAAAATAATGATTTTCTTATTTCACAATTGTATTTGGGAGTACTAATGAATTTTCAATCCATGCATTCCTTCTCTGATTAAAAGAGATTTTCATTTACGACAATTTGAATAAAAGCATATGTAGTGAAATAAACAGAAAATTTCTTCATTATTTTTGGAAATCGATAGCTTAATAAAATATAGCTATCGAAAATATAATTCTTCAAGTCTACCGATAATATTCAATTCATGAAATTCTCATTATGGTTTTATGTGAAAATGATTTGTAGTATATTTTCATGAATAATTACTTTGTAAAGGGATTCAAATATATATTATTTCGTGGTAAATCTATACGAAGCGGCTGAGAATATTACCATAGTAACTGACCATTTAATAATGAATGGGTTTAAAGTCGCCAAATATTTTTTACTGTAAAGCAGTTTGTTGTCGCCATTTTTGAGTTGCTAGCGAATAAGTCAATGACATTCAACAGTTGTGCCTTTCATTTCAGTTTTAATAAGATCTATCGAATTTTCATATTAAAAGATGAAGATGATTAAAGCATCTGTGTTCTAAGCAAACTTAACATACTCGAATAATAAGCGTTATTTATAAGTAAATATTAGTATAAATAGCGAGAATTCCTATGATGATAGTTTCATTGCTATTGTATCTCAATTAATTAATTAGATTAAAGATTATACGACAAATTTCAATGGGCCATTAAGTTCTTCTGAAGTCTTACAGATTTTGACTACCATATTCAAACAAAAGATGCAATTAATTGTCTTCTGTAGATGCAAGCAAGTTTGAGATGCTTTTACTGTAATTAGCTTTTAATAAAAGCTAAACTAAATTTGCAAATTAATTGAGACTTTTTTATTTATGGGAATCGTAGGTTTTAACTTTAAACATTTTCTAATATTTCGATTTAATAAATGCTAATTTTAGCCCAATGCATTCAATCACCTATAATAAAAAAAAATTCTCAATTACTTTTTTTAGAAATCTTACAATTTCGAAATTCTATTGAATTTCAGAGGGAAAATTTCAAGATTTTAAATGATAGTGAAGATGAAGAAAAAATGATATCCTATTGCCTATTTTCATATGAGTTTAGGTCCTACACTTACTCTTCCAATATCTAGCAATATTAATAGAAAATCTGGAAGCAAATTTAAAAGGTGTAAGATGAAGTTTGTCTCAATGATACTTTCAATGCATAATTTTTCGTTAACATTATAATATATTAATGATAATATGAAATGGCAAAGAATACAGTAAATTCCCAATGAATTTTTCTAGTAAATATTTCGGTTGTCTAAGTCACAATCAGATATTCTACCATCTCGATATCTCGGTACCTTCTAAAGGAAATCTTAGCTTTTTCTATGTTAGTAATTCCAATAGCATTAAAATAAGCTGTGATAATTTTGCACATAAATATAAAAAGTTTGGGAATTCAATTGCTATTTAATTGATCATTTGCATCATAACGGAATTGCAAGCGAAAATCCTTTCTGGACTTCTAGGAAAATTCGCCGTTTGATAAATTACAGCCATTTGACTGAACAAAACTCTTGCTTATAAGATTTCAGATAAATTTGATTCCTATAAGCACACTTATATTTCAATTTATTTTAGTTCATCTCATCAATGCGGCAGTTGGTTGATTTTAAAATCAAAATTATAATACAAAATTACCAATTTTATAATGACATGGACAGATTAATAGAATTGAAATGAAATGAAAAATTCTGTATGGACGGAATATCAGCCATAAACAATAACATTTATAACTTACGACTCAACATTTTATTATTCAATTCAATTTACCTATATATTAATCAAAGTTTATTTATCCAATTTAATCCTCCCACAAAAAACAAATATGCATTTCGTTGCTCTTTTTAACTTTCCATTTATCCTCATTGCATTATTACTTTCATTACTATTTGAGCACATAAGTAAGTTATTCTAATCTATATAACAAATATTTTTTTTTTAATAGAAGATAGATAATTGCAAATAAATTATCAATTTAGATGATAATATTAAATTTTAATAATTTCTATAAATGATTTTATTAAGAATTTCATCTTAGTCGTAAATTCAATAAGTATCGCTGTGTGTAATACTACAGCGAAAGGTTGGCATAAACCAAAAGAAACAATCCGATTTTTTGATGGAAACTGCCTTCCGATCAACTTCTAAACACTAATATAATTTCAATTTAAAAATGAATGGAATAATTGTTTTGTACCATAAAATGTGAGACATAATTAATTGCTTTAAGAAGTGTTCTTGTAATTGCAATGGAAAACTTGTTGAACTGTGAGTTATCTTGAAAAATGAATTGAGTAGGATAATTCAAATAAAGAATTTTTAAATGAAATAATTTTAGTTCATTGAAATCTTTGAAGTTGAATAATTAAACGATTAGAATAATAAAAATTATTAGTTTTCAGTTTATTTTATTTTAAAAGAAAAAAAACTAAATAGGATTAATTTTCGGAAATGTGTGGTGGAAAGAATTTTTGCTATAAAAGAAATAAATGCTAAAATTATTTTCTAATTGATAAAAAAGAAATAGGCAAAGTATTGGGAAGTGAAGTTGGATGAAAGCATTTTAATATGCTAATAGAAATTACCGAATATTTTTTCATACGCTAAATCTATTTTTTTTATATATCAAATGGGTTAAATTGCAAATAGCAAAGTAATGGCGTCATAAATTATTTACGTTTATAATTTTGAAAAAAATGACTTTTAGTTTAACATCCGAAGGTAGAAGAAACTAATAAAGTAATAAATGGATCTACTGCTATTGGAATATTCAGGTGTAAGTTTGATCTCTTAACTTTCATATGACACCTTCAATTTTTGGCATTATGTAAAATTTTAAGCGACATAAAATATAAACCTTTTACGATAAAATTATTCTTCATTTCCATGTCGCAAATTATGTTTTTCATTTGTTCGTATGAATTATTAAGATCGTTATTATCATTATTGTTGTTATTATCATTATTATTGTTATATTATTATTATCAGTAATAGTAATATCATAATATAGCAATTTTGAAGATTGTTGATTTAGAGGTATACATATCAGCTATGCCGGCAATTGTTTGGAAATAATATATTATGCTTAGTTTTATCATTATCACTTAGAATGATTTTATAACTGTTTAATTCAGTAATATTCAGATTTCATTCAAACATGTTTAACATTCCTCTTTAGCTTAAATTATATCAAATTCTTCAATGGTACTTTACCTATATTCTTTTCAGAAATATTATCAATTTTCTGACTCAGTTCACCTTTATCCAGTAGCACTGGCATTAGTAAACAGTATTACTTATATTTAAAGCACATTGACTTCAGTATATCGATCATGCAGAATCTCATTAGCAAGTTGCAAGCGGACTTTTGTTGAACAATACACCTATCTGTTGCATAATTGGAGGGAAGGAATGAAATTTGGGTTAGAATATAATATGAATGCTTCTTAATAAAAAATTCTATTTTAAAATTTGACTCTATCATTGAAACCTTTTTTACCAATCACTTTGCTTGGTTATCATTGTTTAAAATGTGATATATGCCTTGAAATTTTTTTATTTATAAAACGTCCTGTGCATATCATATAACTTAATTCAGCCAAAGTGTGGAAGAAATATTACTCTATATTTTGGCTGAATTAAGGTATACGATATGAGTCATATCTCGAATGTCCAATTGAGTGGACATTAAATGGAGCAGATGTGATCGCTGATGTACCCTAATACGGTCAGTATCATGAAATGCAATGAGAAAGCAGATATATCTCTTCTTCGATATGTAGGTGAAAAAATTAAGATAAACAGTTAAATGAAGAGATTTTCCACAAAGTGAAATTTAAATTAGAGTAATTAGAGTGAAAAAAACGACTCGAATATCTTTTTTATATTTACCATCGCTTACATCAAATATTAGAATGAAATGTTATTTGAAATTGAATTTTATAAGAAGCTGATTTAATCTGTGCAAAATCTTAGCAAATAAATTAATTCTCAGTTTTATTTATATTTTAATAAACGGAACGATTTTATTCATTGAATTGAGGAATGGAATAATAATAATAATAATAATAAAACTCTGTGGAGGGACGGCAGAAAAGGTCAAAATGAAGGAATTTCTTATCCCTTGTAAGAAGATATGTAAAGAACACACACAGAATCACAACAATCTCAAGCATAATGAAAATTAACCAGGCCAGTGTCGCCAAACATACTGCAACATATTGCAATGCGACATTTACTTAAACGAAGAACAAAATGGCAGTATTTTTGACTACTGTTTCAAAAATGACGATCCACTTGCAGGCAAAACCACTACCTAAAATTTCTTCAGCAATTCCATTTGAATCTCATCATACGCGAAAGTTGGGTCTATTGTTTCTAAACTCCATGAAATTTAACCTGTCCACTGAACCCAGAATTCCCCAACCTTTTAGGCTCATATGTAGAAAAGAATAGGTAAAAACTTCTGACATCTAGGGTCATACATCAAGACTGAAGTGTCAAACGAGGCGCAACGCCTATAGCCACTTCATCCTTTTAATCAAAAAAGCTAGCAAATGCGACAAACAGTAACACAACCAACTTACACGACCAATTTTCGGTAATGAACTGAGTCTGAAAAGCCACAAATGGAGTGAACGGAAACTGGCAAACTGACGAGCAGCTTAAGATATAATCAATGGGTGGGTAAGAAGAAATGAGGAACCGGAAGGGTAAGAGGAAACGAGAGACCGGAATGATTTTAAAAGTTTACTCCAGAACATACTAAGTTTATCCAGAAAAACCTGAGGATAATCAAACATATTATACAGACTTCACAAAATGCACTTCACATATAACGCACAAAAAGTTTGTACTGTACACCTTTAAATATCATTAAGTCTTTGATACCGGATAGCTTACAAAGCGAATGAAAAATGCAATAAGTTGTGGTCAGTGAAGATGAACATGAACCGAAATATGAATCACCTCCCAACATCCTCAACCACGTTCGCAAAAACAAAACGTTCTATTTGTTACATGAATAAACCTCGAAAAATATTTCTCACTATCGGAGTAAAACACCATTTCATTTCTAAAAATGACTGGGGATGTCACCATCCACATATTAGCTCACAACACAGTAGCTGAACACGGAGCAGCAACATGACACTCTCGGCACCCCCACAGGAACTATTTTTCTTCCCAGTTGTCTCAGGTTAGATATCCTCAAATAATTTTGAAACGCTGCAACTAAATGCATATCATTTCCCTAGCTTCTACTCCCGATTTCACAATATAATACTCAAACATCATCAAATTTAAAAATGAGACCAAAAGAAATAGTTCTGCACTGTGTGCTTTATAGTGCCCCAAAAATGACTACAATATAACTTCATGTAAAACAGAAATTCCACTGGAAAACATAACTCTGGAAGTATGATGTCAAGAAAAATAATACAGTCAGATAGGACAATAATTAAAAAATTCATATAAACCGAAAGCTACGAAATTACCAGAGAAAATGATCAATAAATGCACATCATGAATTCGACAGCTGTTATCGAGAAAAGACTCGTTACAACAACTACGTTAATGGCAACGGTATTGCCCTTTTCCCGAATTAGCATCACACTTTTTAAAAACGATGATTTTCTCCGAATTCGCTGATGATTATCGATAGTAGCAGAAATTCATTTTCTCGATTATACACACTGTACATGCCCAGTAGTGATAATGACATTGTGGTGACAAACAATTACGAACAGTAAGCAACCATAAATTGTGAGAAAAAAATTAAGCTTCATAAACAAAGTGCACCTGATGAGAATGCTTGACTTAGCAAGCAAATGACATTACGCAATGCATTAATTGGAGCGGAACCCTGCAGAAATTGAGTAAAGTGATTTCCAAGCGCTGCTTATCGTATCGCTATAAAAAATGTTTAACCCCTCATTTTCGTCGTGTAAAGATATATGACTGACTCACAAATAAAGCAATCCATATTATGAGAGGTTTCAATCAGAGAGAGAAACCTGCAATTGCCTTCTTTACATGAAGACATTAGATGAAATACACGATAAGCATAAGCCAGTTGAAACACTCAATTCAGAGATAGTACAGTTTCAATGAGCATCAATAATATCCATAAGAAAAGCATTTGTACTCTGTACTCCTTTTTTAAAAACCACATCAATTTCTTTTGAAACCACTTCCAATAATATTCGAAAAACATGGAATTGCCATACAAATACTCAGCACCATAAACTGCTCGGAAGACTACTGAAGCCTTCGCATTTCTAAAAAAGAAAAACACATAGAGAACAAAGACCCTATAAACAATTCAAATCAAAAAACAAATATACAATGAAACAAAGCTAAAGTTACAAAAATAAGTGATTAGAACTATTCGTCCTGATCAAACCATGTGTAGTCTCCTCGCCCGTTTGAACAGTGATCGTTCGCAAGAAAGGTTCCAATCGTACGCTTAATCTATTCCCTGAGCATGAACCTTCAGTACCACATATAGTTTCCAGATTCATTCTTGGAGGGCAAGAGCTGGATCTCTCATCACTCTCACTAGCACTTCTTACAGGAAGAGAAGACTCTTCCAATGACATCGTTCTAACGCCAATATTGCAATAAATTTCTTCCTGATTTGTTTCACTTTCTCCGGACTCTGAACTGCTTGATGCAGGTGAACTATGATAATGCTCCGAAAGCTGACGAAATACATCGTCATCTTTATCGTAATACATTTCTGCACCAGGGAATATATTTTTGTTCGGTACTATCTAAAAAGTTCGCAACAGAAGAATAGTAAGAACAAGCACTTTTTTAAACAAACCTTCAAAAATCGTTACTACTAATTAATATTATGTCTACTTTGGCATCAGTTCAGTTTATTCGCAAGAGACGAAAAAGAGAATTCAGTACCAAACTGCTGGAATACTTCTATTCCCTCTCTTTAAAATTAACTCCTCAAGGCATTTTATTCTGTACTTTTAACAACGAAATTTGTATGATTTCTCATACCTTCTACTGTGGGATTATGATTTTCATTTTGGATTAGCTTTGAAGCCAGATAACTTTGCAGTAAATCAGAACTCTCAGCTCCTGGTTTTCTTATTTATTAGTCAAATTACCTACAAAAAAACTAATAAACTACTCAGAGGCAGAATACATATAGAGTATTGTTAAGACGTATTTTTTACATGAATAAAAGACAGATTTAAAAAGACTAAGCATAATGAAATAAAAGTACAAGAACTCACAAAAAGATAACCATCAACGGGAAGTCTCGATCCCACGCTAACATATCGTGCATCCCACATTGAAGGCATTTCTTCTTTCAGTCTTGCTCGCTTAACTGCTGGCTGATCTAATAACTTCTGAAAAGACCGTACAGCATATCAAGCAGCTGATATGTTTGATCCCGAAATCCTATATCCTATATGATATCTATTGAATGAAGAAGCAAATTCAATGCAAACTTTGAATTGCATTTCGTTGATGGCCTTCCGAAGAGTTGTTTTCTCGTAAATTTCTTCGACTGAGGCAGGATCGCTGTGGTTTGTCTTAGACCGACCTCAAAAAGAGTACTTCTTTGAGATCTTGACATCCTGACACACGAATGATTTATCTAAAGCACTATATAACACACCAAAACTTACCTTTTCTGAATATATCGGTATAGGGAGGACCCAAAACCAAAGCTAACTGGGCCACAATATCATCGCAATTACCCAGCAATTCGATATCACTGGCGTAATGAGGTAAAGATTCACGATTGATGAGTATCTGTGGCACTTCAGGACTAACATTGTACGGGAGAAGTGCAACTGGTTGTACTTTCAAAGATGACCCGATAACTACAACCAAGTCAACCTGAAAAGAAAAATCAAACCTCATAACCTTCCTCTGAGAACATTTAACAAAAGTTTGATCACAGACAAGCATCTCCTGAAATATGTGAGCATTATAGCTGACTCACAAAGAAGTTGCAAAATTTTCCTTTCCATTAGTCAATTGTCAGCTCTTCCTAACTACAAGAACTGAAATAAACTGCAAACCCTTTCTCTGTCCTCGGCCATTTTTTCATGGAAATCATCGGAGAGATCTTCACCGAAAAAAACTATGTCAGGTTTCATAACTCCTTCCGGCTGACTGCACATTCTACACATCGCAACACGCTGTAAACACCATGGAGTACGCTTAAATGCTTCATTAAAATTACAGTGAAAGAGAGGAAAAGTATTTCCCTTTGTGAAGTTCTTTTTTTACAGCACATGTCTTTCTTATAATACAAAACTTCAAACTCCGAACTTCAACTTCAAAATATAGTAATAGCAGAAAGAGGTGCAACAAACGATTTAAAAAAAATTAACGGAAAAGAAAAGCTCCGTAAAAGGGTACCCCAAAGTCAATGTCTTCTCGAATAGCTTCGCTATCGACTTTTAAACCACAGTTTTGACAAGTTGCCGTTGCAAATGACCCTAAGACAAAACAAAAATTAATATACAAGAGAACAAAAACCTGTGACAATTTCAGCATTAAGAACTTTCACGATCTGTTATTAAAACAAACGGTTGTAAAACAGTTATCGTTGACAGAATTTGGAAATGTTATCAGATTAGATTTATAACAAGAGAAATTCCGAAAAATATTCACGATAAAGTTGAAACATGCAACGATACGAAAGATATTTGTGGCCATTATAAGCTTATTACAAACAAAAAAATACCATGGCACTGTACAATTCGCTTGATTCCAGCTACTTGCTCCAAAGTATCAATATTCTGAGTGTAATTTCTCAACAATTTCCCATTATCTTCGAGCGCCTTGATAAAGTAATGGCACATCGAAGCCTCATAACGACCAGGGAATAATTCCTTGAATATGATTCATTCAATCAATGTTCACATTTCGTAAAAAAACATAAGACGAGACCAGATTCGAGGACAAAAACTGAAGCATCATATAAGATTTACGGGTTGCCCCGAAAGGTACAAAAACAGCAAAGACTAGTCGAAAAAAGAATAAGATAATACCCTAGCGAATTCGAAAAATGGTTTCGGATTTTTACTAAAGTAATTGATATCAAACATAGCAGTTGGATCTGGAAGATCTGGATATTCGATGTGAAGTCGCGCATATATGCCGTTTTTACTCCGGAAGTCAGGTATACCGCAGGATACAGAAACGCCAGCACCAGTTAAAACTAAGATGCGACTGCATCTGCAAACATCAACAATTGCTTTTTCCCTTTTATAACAATGAAATATTTTAAAGAGAGTAGTCTGTTCAATTTCAGAAAAGATATCATGTAAGGAATAACCTTTTAAAAAGCTCAACCGCATCATCAAATGAATTGAATTCAGGTAATTTTGTGCGTCTAGGACGTTCACTGTATAAAATCTTTCGAATGATTCGATACAAATCTTGCTCAGAAAGATTGTCTGGTAGATCAACATGCGGCAAAAGGCAACGAACAACATCTCTAGCCGATCCACCTAAAGTAAATTAGTGTAGTAGTATTTTTCTAAATTTCAAATTGTGCTAAGCACTAAATGTTACGGGCAAATGATACATATTAGAGAATTCTAATGTACAAAATGCATTGCTCTAGGATGATAACTGCGTTTGTACCAACTTGGAACGACACTGCATTGTGAGTATATGAACCAAATAATTTCACTTTTTCAGTTTATACAAATAACCTCCGTTCTGCAGAGATTGATAAAAAGTGATGGAAGCTTAAGTCTAATTAATTTTATCGGAAAGAGACAAAGATGGATTTGAGAACGATTTGATAATTTAGTACGTAATTAGAATAGTTCTGAGAGAAGAATGCATTTTCATATCGCATGCTATACAGAAAGTTTCTCAACAGAAATGATTTTCGGAATCGCATTTACAGTAAAAATTTTCTACGTATAGAAGTATAAAAACAAAAAAAGTAAAATGAGACATGTACTTTCTGAACTTGGCTACATCAAGTCTGATGAATAAATACGGGCGAAACTAGAGAAAAACAATTGATAATCATGTGAAACATTGAGTGCAAAAAAATATGATGGTGTAGGTTCATATGAGAGAAAAGTTTGCCAACTTTAAAAAGTTCAACCAAGGTGGTTTTAAAAATACTGCAACTAAAAGTGTAGCAGTTTTATTCCACTTTCCAAATGCAGTAATCAAAAACAGTGACGAAGAATACAACTTGGTTAGAACTCTTCACCATTTACAGTGCGAAGGCACTAATATAATCGATGTTGCAGATATTCATTAAACGTATGAAGCACAGCAATAAGAAAGCTGAACTAAAACGTGGATGAGAAAACTGACGAGAACTACTCAAGATTCCTTAAGTGCATTGAGCTGTGTAAGAAATGATAAATAAGAATGAATGAAGAGGTGCATTATGCAAAAGAAGTATTGATCGAACATGGAATTACTAGAAGTCTATCGAGGAAACTTTCGAAAATCGAAAAATCACCATAGTTTTCACTAAAGATAATGTCATACAACACAAAAAATATTTGCAAATGTTTCTAAAAATGAATGAATTCGAATAACGAATTGATGAAACTCAAGCTGCAAAGATAAGAAAATATTTTATGTGAGAGTGTAAAACTTTTAAAAGCGATGTGCAAAAGGTCTAACAAAATCATACAAATAAAACGTAGAGCTAAGCACACCGATTATAAGAGAGTTCTATGCAAAGACATACTGAACCCCTAATTTTGCTTTCAAAGATACATGGACGGACTCGAATTACCAAATGCTCGAACGAACAAAAATATGATGAAAAAAAATCGGCTTGAAAAGAAAATTACATAAATAACTCACCTTCACTGCCTATTTGGTCGACAGCAAGAGAATCACTTGAATCTGTATTTATTAACCCCTGATTTATTTGAATTTGGATAGACGGATTTGTAATGGAATTCGTATGTGTATCGGTTTCGGTTCTCATACTGCCATCTGATATAATGTTTTCACCTGAACCAAATTTTCATAAACCTCATTTTAGAAATCCTTATTTCACTGACAATGTGCGTAGCATCTTCAAAATAACTTAAGTTGTTTGTTGCACCAACCGATTACGGTACTGAAAAGAATCAAATCATACCATTTGCAAACACTCTGCAATGACAGGAGTAATACAAATAATATCATAATGACAACTTACTTCTTAGCTCATCTCCGCAATCACCTGAATGCATGAATATGACACGAAATGATTTGTGAACAGTTTAACCTGAAAAGATAATTAAGAATGCACGCATATGATGAGCGATGCAAATTAGCTCATCAACATTATCTATCAACGTAAAACCAACAAAAGACTCATACCTTCCTTAAATAATATTCACCATACAGTATCAACTTTGAAAGATGTACAGCTTATCTAAAAACATTACATAACATTATAAGATATCATGTTAGTAGTAATGAGCAAACAGTTCGCCTGTCCTCATCACCTTCAACTTGTTAGTTACAGTATTACATAATATACGCAGCAACTTCCTCCCCTCCTCCATGCCCACCACTCCCCGTCTCGTACCGAAACCTAAACCTCCCGCCCCGTCCTTCCCTTACCTAAAAGTGGACATCGTGCTAAACTGTTTTTACTGCCAAATTTCACGGCCCGTTATATTTTGTGGGCAAGTGCCTTTATTTTGAGGAACACGTGGCAGACGGTTGGTCGCTGAAAAATATTGGCTTGTGCGTAGCGGGGTTCGATGATGCGCGTTTTTTTTCGAGATTTTAAGATTGATTGCTGATCTTTGCTCGTGAATAAATGATATATTTGATGGCAGTCTGTTTTTGCCGAAAATTTCAAGCTTTTATCAAACATTATTTTTGGATTTCGACAATGGGCTCCGCGTGGAAAAATAACCTGCGTGGTATTATAGGAATTTGCGGTTTAGTTTCTAACTGAATCCCGTAAACTAGTCTTCCTAGATTCTGTGACATGTAGCCTGTTCTGAATCACTTGTACTAGTTAATACCTCACTGTTGTACTTATCGCTACAATTTCCCCATACCTTTCCTGAAAAATCATTGATGTGAGCGGTTTCTAGGAAAGCTATTAAGATAATTTCATACCTATTTTAAGATGAATATATGGGAAGACCATCTTGAAAGGCAGTTTATCGTTTTTTTACAAACTCTTATGCGTAAAATGGATATTATATACAGTCAGCAGTGATTCCGGCCGATTAATATCCAATTCACAGGCTGATGTCCGCCTACGACATACTTCTGTTCTATTTAATTTTGCAGTAATTGCACATTTCCGTTAACCTTTATACAACTCAAAAGTGTATCTGTTTCACTGTTGAAGGTCAAGAGTGGCTGCATCTCGGCTACTATCCGTAATGTTGGTATAGTCGCTTTGTTTCATGTCCTCCTCAGCTTTATAATTGAGAAGTCTTCATATTTCTAAAGTTTGCCTGCTTATCCTAACTTTATCAAAATATATTTTATTGCCCCGTTCTATACTCTTTACAATCTCTCTCATCACACATGATGGCGTAGCAAATGGAAAATAGAATTGCTTCACGCACTTGAATGTTTTACTACCAGTTAACTTATTTAAAATTTTGATATGAGCGAAATACGAAGACTAAATTATTAATAGCGGCATATTTGAGAGGCATTATCTGATGAAATCAAGGAATTTTCAGATATACTTGTCTTCAAATACATATACGTTAAAGTTTCCTTCCTTCGTCATGCTTCTCCACTTTAGCATCATCATTATCCTCCACTCACGATCACAATGGCATAACATCGTCCTCGTCGAATTTAGATAGTGCAGTAATTTTTGCAAAGCTTCTGAAGACTTCACCAGTTAGAATGCAAAAACTGCGGGACGATTATGTCGTGCGACATCCCCAATATTTAAGATTTAGGCTTTCATTTATTTCCTTTGTTCTAGATTTGTTTTTGAAGGATTTTTTTGCTTTCATTGCACTATATCAGTTATTCGATATAGTCGTCCGATAGGTCTCTATAGAATTCCGGTTCAATTCAACGACAACAAGTAGGATAATAAAGATAACAACTATCGCTTGAGCAGTTGCTGGCAGATCATGCAAGCAGTTTTACACAACAATTAGTGAAATAATTTAGCTGCAATTGTGCTCCATTATCTCATCATGTCCACGTCCTTGTGCCACGAAAAAATTATCTATGCTTTTGATGGCAGCGTGTTGCTCACAGAACTTCAAAGTGCGTCCTTTTCTGCTCACGATTCTTCGCACTATTTTGAAGGTTACAGTTGTGGAGGAAGCTGTTTGACTTGATTTCTTTTGGACTTTTTGTCTTATCTTAATATCATGTTTGGCGTTGATTTCCCCTGCGCATCATTTTCACGCTAATTCAAAACATTGGAAAGAACACTGTTAACGATGGATAATTTGGCAAATTATCCATCGTTGATAATGTTTAATTTAGAATTTGACAATTGGATATTTATATACTTTAAAGTCGGAAAATTTTCATTATTTTAAAAATCGTGGTAACTGGGAATGAATATACAGAAATATTCCGCGAGGCGACATTCATGAAGCAAAGAAACATAAATTGGTGCCTCAGTTCGCGAAGCTCTATTACTGCACAATATTGTAGCCTATGTTCCATGGTCAAGTCCATATTTCTGCAAATCACAGCTATATTTTAAATAAAGAATCTCGAAAAAAGCATTCGAGGCGAAACTGTTTCCTTTGTAACCTGATTTAAGGGTAGCATACACCTGCAAGATGGAGAGATCAAATTAAAGTTTATTTGAACGATAGCTTCTTAGAACTGCTAGAGACCGAAAATCGCCTTACGAGAAGCAGGCTAACACTGCTAATTTGATGATACAGCTTTTGAGTTCCATGAATAATAAAATGTAACAAACGAAGTCATGGTCACGAATTTGCAAGAGATGATGTTGTGTTAAGACCTGACAAAGACTAACTGATGATAAGTTCTCGACAAAGATCGTTTATGAATGCATGAACTACGCTCGGATATGCTCATGATGAGAAAACCACCGCCAATAGTATTACCCACTAAAAATTTATTGTCAGAGTTTACTATGGTTCTTTAAGAATTGCAAAAACATTTCACTCTCTACTTGTGTGTGGAGTTCCATAACGAACAATCATTTTCCAACTTCTTGCAAAGAATGATTCAAAATATTTCTGGACCTGAGCCGCTTTGCTGTAACACTTAAACAAATAGCACAACGCGTTTGCATTGTAGAGAAGGTACGTTCAGAAATATTTATCGTGATGCTGTCAAAATAATCTGTTAATCAGCACTTGCATTGCATCTGTCCTCACAGAACTCTCAACTGTACAATCAGAATTACAACAAAATATAACAAATATTGGATCATTCCTAAAAATCAGAAAAAGCACTTTGCGATCTATAAAAATTTCTGGACTTCAGAATGCTGGAATATTTAGAACTTCAAAATCATTTCTATTCAGAACCGTTTTTCTTTTTTGCAGCATTTGATAGCGTTAACATTTCTTCATTTGCTGAACTTAAACGATCTTCAATTTCTTCAATCGTTTCTGGCAATGGTTTACCCATTGTTTCAGGTATACAAACTATTACAATTAAACCTGCTATCAGTGAAAGACTACCAAACGGAATGATCATTGCCCATGTTCCAAACCGCTCCACCTGTAAGAAAAAAAATTCCTGGAATATTCGAAGCTGTTGTAAATACACTACTCTTTCTTATAAGTGAAAGAAAAATTCTCTGGTGCCCAGTGAAATATTTTCTTCAAGCCGCAGTACATGGGAAGCAAAACACTGCTGTAGTCCCAATGATTTATTTATCCAATAAACTGGATTCTGTTGCGTCTTCTGTATCACAATGAGTGCATAGTGGACTGAATTTTGAAGAGAACATACAATCCACATGACAATATAGCAAGACAGGTTGGCGCCGACACGAGCAATCATCGAACAGCATCCCATCGCCGAATTACGAATCACTGTAGGGTATAATTCAGGAGTAACAGTATAAATCACTACATAGCAGCCAGTTATAGAAGCTTTTGCGATTAAAAATTGTATGACGCTAATAATCCAATGCACTGAAATGTTTTTTAATAGGAATGGACTATACATAGCTTAATTGAGAAGATGAATGAAAAGGATGACCGTCAATATTCTCAACGAGCCGTTGCGAAGCCAGATTTGGTTAGCTGCGTCATAAATACTGCAGTGAACGACTGGAGGAGATTCCTAATGATCCGTGATGTGAATAACAGCCATGTTTCTTGCAAAAAGTCGGTTCTTCAAAAAAATTTGATAAATATGGGTTGAAAACTGAGAAAATTGGATGCTTTCAGAAACTCTACCTTCAGAAGGGAGAAGGAGGTTAGAAAGCATGCATAACGCAGCAAGAAAGTATCCTCCGGCAAAGAGTGGTTTCCGGCCGATTCTGTCGATTAATACAAAGATCAACAAAAGAGCTGGTATTTCAGCTATACCACCGCTAATAAATGTTCCATAAAAATCACCACCAAGAAAATCAGTTTTCATCGAAACACCATAATAAATCATCGACACAACCTATGAAATATTGAACAAGTAAAAATAAAGCTGTTCCGGTATTGCTCCAATCATTTTTTCAAATCCAGCAACTTGTGAAAAAAGAACAATAGTCGATTAATGTGCGAAAATTTCTGAAATTAAGTCTCACTGGCCATAAGAAAAGGCATGCGAATGTATGCAATCGTATGCGTGGTGTCCGAACAAGATCAAGGTAGTTGTATTTTCTTTGCGGAGAACGATTCTGTGCAGTCTTTTCCGGGGAATCAATTTGATCCCACCACTTTTCTGGCAAGCGCGCACCATTAATTTTTGCCGCACGTTGCAATATTTTATCGGCTTCTTTATACTTATGTTGTGTCACAAGCCATCGTGCGCTTTCAGGAACAATCCTAAATTTACCAGGATCTGATCTAACTTTAATCCTTATAACTGGACTTATCCGCCTTTGTTTTACTGCAACTAACTTTTCGAATATCATATTTAGAGATCCGCATTTTATACTCACCACCAGTAGCACATAAATATCAGTGCAGGCAACGAAATGGCGAGCTGCAGATACCGATAATCGCGAATGAAATATGCAAGACATCCCAGAAAAATCTGACCAAATGAAAAAAATATTCCTGATATTACCGAAGCAATTTTTCTTTTGGAA